TTATCAGACTCTAGTATAAGCTTTCATTGTGTCCCAAAGATTTTGCATCAATGTGTCCTCTTTTCTGTTTTCTTTAAAAAAGAAAGCCAATTCTTTCTCCATTTTCTGCACAAAATCATTTTCTTTTAATATTGTATTACTTAGAGTCCATCTAGATCTTATCCTTTGTCCTTTCCACCTCACAGTCACTGGATTATGAGCTGGTATTTGCTTCTATTTCAATTTCTTGTATATTAGAAGTCAGATCCATTGTTGTCCATATCATGTCTAATCTAGACCATGATGAATGTCTATCAGAATAAAAGGTATATTGCCTACTTTTTGCATTTCTTTCTCTCCATGCATCTTTTAAATTTATTTCCTCTATCATTTTAAAAAAAGCTTTCGGAAGTATCTTTCTAGTATCCTTTATTGCCTTATGTGTATTATAATCCAATTTCTCATCTACTATACCATTAAAGTCCCCCATCATACAAATATTATCATAGTCCAATTCAATTATTTTCTTATGTAGTTTTCTATATAAGTCGTCTTGGTTGTTATTTGGAGCATATATTGCTATTAAAAGTATTTTCATATTATTATCTATTATTTCGCCATCAAAATTCTTCCCTCATCATCTGCGTATATTTGCTCAGCTGGAATTGTATTTCTAATGTATAAGACAACTCCCCTTTTCTTACATTGTGGTAATGAAGTAAAAATTTTACCTAATTTTGGCTGTACCAGTACCTGTTCAAATTGCTTTTTAATATGCACTTCTTGCAAACAGATTATATCAAACTTTAATTTCTCTAATTTATGAAATACCTTTCTTCTTTTAATGGCTGAATTAAGTCCATTTATATTTATTGTAATCAATTTTTTCTCTTCCATGTTCATACTTTATATTAGGGGTTTGCTGCTCTAGTTCATCTCGGTTCACGTTGTTCTTTATGTTCCACAATATCCCCTACTGCTCCTTCTGCTTTTTCAATCATTGCTATGTCGTCTTCTTGGATTTGAATCAGTGGTTCTGTCGTTCTAATTTCCATTCCTTTCTCTCCAGGAAATTTTGCATAAAATGCTTTAGCTTTATCCATTGAATCTATTCTATATCTTTGCTGCTGCCACATAAACACTAATCCTTCTGGTATCAGCCATCTGTAATTCACACCTTTTTGAAGCAGTATTTTAGTCAGGAATTTATATTCTCTCCTCATCTCCCTCACTCGGTATTTGCTTCAGAACCACAATTTCTTTCTCCTTATACTTCAGTGTTTTTTCTCTTGCGATCTGCAAAATCTGTGCTTTAATCAATTTCTTGGTAAATCTTATATGGACTTCTCGTGGTAATTTATTTCGCATTGCATACCTTATGTAGACTCGAAATATTTCATCTTTGTCATCCATCATCTTTTCTTTGATAATTTCTAATGCTTCTGCTAGAATTTCTATCATTACTTCTGCCAGGTTTTCTCCCTTCTTCTATATTTTGAAATCTGAGTTAAAATTCTGCTCTATCTATCTCCCATCCGATTAATCCACTTTTGTCTCGTTCAGTCTAGTATCCAGTCTAGTAGCAATATCTCTGATTTTTTTCTCTCTTTGCTCTTCCTTTTCCTCAATTTTTTGGAGTCTATCTTCATATTTCAACATCATTTGTACATCAGCTGTACATCTCCACCCCAGGCCACCCCAACGATGCCCTTGAAGTGATGTCCCAGTGCCTGGAGGCTGTGCGGATCTGGATGGGGAGGAATAGGCTCAGGCTCAACCCTTCCAAGACTGAGTGGCTGTGGCTCCCGGCATCCCAATATAGTCAGTTGACTCCATCACTGACTATTGGGGGCGAGTCGTTGGCCCCCCACAGAGAGGGCTCGCAATCTGGGAGTCCTCCTGGATAGGCAGCTGTCCTTGGAGGAACATCTGACGGCTGTAACCAGGGGGACCTTTTGTCAGGTTCGCCTGATCCGCCAGTTGCGGCCCTTTCTTGATTGGGATTCCCTGTGCACAGTCACTCATGCCCTCGTCACCTCTCGCCTTGACTACTGCAACGCTCTCTACATGGGGCTCCCCTTGAGGAGCACCCGGAGGCTCCAACTGGTCCAGAATGCAGCAGCGCGGGTAGTGACGGGAGCAGCCTGGCGCTCCCATGTAACACTGCTCCTGCGCGAGCTGCACTGGCTCCCAGTGGTCTTCCGGGTGCGCTTCAAGGTGTTGGTTATCACCTTTAAAGTGCTCCATGGCATAGGGCCTAGCTATCTTCGAGACCGCCTGCTGCCACCGATGATCTCCCATCGACCCTTGCGCTCCCACAGAGAGGGCCTCCTCGGGGTGCCATCAGCCAAACAGTGCAGGCTGGTGACCCCCAGGGGGAGGGCCTTCTCTGTGGGGGCACCTACCCTCTGGAATCAATTGCCTCCAGAGATAAGGAGAATCCAAGACCTCAGTGCCTTCCGCCGTGCCCTTAAAACCTTCCTTTTCCAGCAAGCCGGGCTGGCCTAATTTTTTAAGTGTTTTTAAGTGTTTTGTTTATTGTTTTTAATTAATGGGGCCAAATTTATATATGTATATTTTAACTGTATTTTAATATTTGTACTTGATGTTTTTACTTGGCTGTTCACCGCCCTGAGTCCTCAGGGAGAAGGGCGGTATACAAATTCAAAATAAAATAAAAAAATAAAAATCATTTGTTGTACGCTCTCCACTTTCTCATCTGTCTTCTCTGTTCTTTGTTCAATCTTCTGAACTACTTGTAATATCATCTGTAATGTTGTCTCCTTTTCCTTTTCCTTCTCCTTCTCCTTTTCCTTTTCCTGTTGTAACATTGTCTGTATGGATCGCTGTCCTCCAGATGGAGATGAAGAGGGCATAGTTGTGGAAGAGCCAACAGCCGTTACTTTTCTACTCATTCTGTGAAGTAGTCACAGAGGCTTTAAACATATGGGAGAGAAAGGAAAAAAGAAAAAAGAAAAAAAATATATTCTTCAGGATCTTCTATACCTTAAACCAATTGTGGATGAAGCAAATATTACTTCAAGTATTAATAAAATACTCAAAGTAAAAAGAAAGAAAAAAGAAAAATCAATAGAAAGCAAAAAAACCCCAATCTTCAGGCACTTGTATACCTTAATCCAATTTAATTCAATTAAATTGAACTTCTTGACAATCTCAATATATTTATGTAAAAAGCGAATTACAAATAAAACCAAAAAAAAAGAGGAAAAGTTAAAAATCCTCCATCAACTCATAGTCCAATTAAAAAATACTTACACAGGGGAGGAGTACAGAGAGCTATCTCTTGAAAAATAAAAATTAAATAAAAAATAGAATAAGAAAAAGAAAAGATATTCAAATAAAAATCACTTCTATATAAAATTCAAAGATTTTTTAATTTGAGTTCCAAGTGTTATTTACTGTTCTCTTTCAGAGTCAATGGAAATTCCTTCTCATTCAACAGTCTCCTGCCTCTGATAGTTCCCCAAAGAATACCTGTTTTAAATATAGTTTTAAATATTCTTTTGATGTTCTTCCAACTATCTTATGTATGAGAGGACTCCGAGTCCTTGAATTGCAACACAATATAGCACAGTTGTTACTTCTTAAACCAACAAAGAGATACAAAATTTCCAATCCACTAGATGGCAGTGTTACATACTCTCCTCCTTCCCCTGCTGTATTCAATGGACTTAAAAAATCAAATTAGCCAAAAAGAAGAAAAAAACAATAAGGCAAAGTGAAGATACAACAAAGTCAAAGCGAAATTGTGGTAAAAAGGCACTAAAAATTTAAAAATGAGATAAACAAGTTTCCGGTCAATCCAATCCAGTCCAGGTTTAAAAATCCACAAATGCAACAAGTATATTAAAAAAACACATAAAAACAATTATCTAAGACTCAAGTTTAATTCCACTGCTTAATTTTCTTCTGTCTTCAATTTAGTCTTTCTTTCAGTCTCAGGCTGCTCTTATTATAGATTATGATTAAAAATTTCTCACCGAATCGACACACTTCCTTCCGATCTTCTTCCGTTTTGGAGCTGTCCCAACTTCAGCAGCTACAATGGCTGCCACCCCACTGCCAGAAAAGGGGCTTCTCCTGGATCAACCAGGGACTTTGCAATGTCCCTGGAATCAACAGGATGTGCCCTCCACTATCACAGTCTCAACGGGACTGTGAGGTCCAAAAAGGATCTTCCATTGTGCCATAGCGACGTCAGCTCCACCCCCCCTGCCCTCCCACATTTTTGTCCCAAGAAAGTAACGGACAATTCTTTCTTTCATGTGGTCGAGTATTTCTGAAGATATTTTCATACAGGTAGTCCTTAACTTATAACCACAACTGAGTCTGGAACTTTGGCCATAGTTGTTGCAGTCATCAGTTGAATCACCGTGATACAATTTTACAACTGTCTTTACTAAGCGAGTCAGTGAGTGATTGTTAAGCAAATCAAATCATACTGTAAGTCCAAATCCAGTTTATTTAGTGGGCGTTTTTTGCTGGAAAAGTTGCAAAATGCAATAATTAGAGCTGCTGGCAAACTCTAACTCAGTTGAAGGGCGTTCCTTTCTCTGTGATGTGTCCAGTGAATTGCTGGAGCTAATCTATAAGGAAGGAAAGATCTCCACCTAACATTTGAGGAAAAGACTCTTTCAAACTGCAGCAGGACAAGCATAGGGAGATCAAACTTGAGGTGAGAGGAGTGTGAGTAAAGGCTAAATATTGTCAGAGTTAAGATTAGCTTATTATTGTCCTTAGAAATCATAATTACCCAGTTCTGGTATCAGGCAATCAAGTTGTGGACAAGTTCTGAGTTATGCTGTAACAAGTACTGTATTTATATTTGCATATTGCAAGTTTTTTGACAGAATAATAGATTGTACAATAAAAAAAAGAAGGAACAGCATTACTGAAAATTATACTTACTCCTAAAAAACTTACTTCTTTTGCGACATTATTAAATTCATTTTCAGATAGTATTTATATACATTTTCTTTATCCTTTTTTTAAACCTACAGGATATGTTTGAAAAGGTCAATAAAGGATATGAGTTTCTCTGCACAAAGTCCTCTAAAATTGTTGATGGTCCAGATCCTGAGAATATAGTTCTGATTTTGAAAACCCAGAGTATCCTTTTTAACAGACACAGAGAAGGTAATTAAGATTTATTTATTTATTAGTCATATTTCTATGCCGCCCATTCTCCGAGGACTCTGGGCGGCTTACATCAAAGACAGTATACTAAATAGCATATTGCCCCGAACAATCTGGGTCATCATTTTACCCACCTCGGAAGGAAGGAAGGCTGAGTCAACCTTGAGCTGGTGAGATTTGATCCGCTGATCTGCTGAACTAGCAGTCAGCTGAAGTAGCTGCAGTACTGCACTCTAACCACTGCGCCACTTCAGCTCTTTTTAGTAACGATTACTAAACCATTTAGTAACCAGTAAGATCTAGTAACCAATGTATTGGACAGTAAAAATTTAGCAAATATATACTCCCACAGTTATTAAAGAACTTCAATGCTAGAATACTACAATACTTAGGAATTATTAACAACCATATATAAGTAAAATTGCTGAAGTTTCAATGTGTTTGGTAGATTCTCATCCTGTAGTTAATGAATAAAGCTTAATATACAGTTCCAAATGAATATATCAAACTAAAAATAGTGAAAAATATACCCATGCAGTTATATTAAAATATTTTAGTGTCAGAATATTATATTAAATGTATTTTCTCTCCAAAAAAGAGAAGGAACTTGTTAGAAAATGTGAAGCTTGATATAAAGGGGAAAAAAATAATTGATTGTAAAACTTGATAAAATATTTGATACTTGATAAAATACTTGATAAAATAGAAAAATGTGGGTTAGACATTATCACCACCAGATGGATTGGTAACTGGCTGACCAAACTCACTCAACATGTAGTCCTCAATGGAACCAAGGAGGGAAGTATGCAGAGGGGTACCCCAAGGCTCTGTTTTAGGCCCAGTACTCTTCAATATCTTCATCAATGATTTGTATGAGGGGATAGATGGGGAACTCATCAAATTTGCAGATGACACAAATCTAGCAGGAACAGCCAACACTCCCGAAGATAGGCTTAAGATACAGAAGCATCTTAACAGACTTGAACATTTGGTGCTATCTAACAAAATGAAATTCAATGGTGAAAATAGTAAGGTTCTACATTTAGGCAAGAAAAATAAAATGCATAGGTACAGTATATGTGGTATTTCATTCAATAGTAGTACCTGTGAGAGGGATCTTGGTGTCCTAGTGGACAATCATTTAAATATGAGTCAGCAGTGTGCTGCAGCTGCCAAAAAAGCCAACACACTTCTAGGCTGCATAAACAGAGGGAAAAAATCAAGATCATGTGAAGTGTTAATACCACTTTATAAGGCCTTGGTAAGGCCACACTTGGAATACTGCATCGAGTTTTTGTCACCACAATGTAAAAAAGATGTGGAGACTCTAGAAAGAGTGAGAGAAGAGCAACAATGATGATTAGGGGACTGGAGGCTAAAACATAAAGAACGGTTGCTGGAACTGGATATGTCTAGTCTGATGAAAAAAAGGACTAGGGGTGACATGATAGCAGTGTTCTGATATTGGGTTGCCACAAAGAGAAGGGAGTCAAGCAATTCTCCAAAGCATCTGACAGTAACACAAGAAGCAATGGATGGGAACTAATTAAGGAGAGAAACAACTTAGAACTAAGGAGAAATTTCTTGACAGTTAGAACAATTAATGAGTGGAACAACTTGCCTCCAGAAGTTGTAAATGCTCCAACACTGGAAGTTTTTAAGAAGAGATTGGATAACCATTTGTTTGAAGTGGTGTAGGGTTTCCTGCCTAAGCAATGGGTTGGACTAGAAGACCTCCAAGGTCCCTTCCAACTCATTTATTCTATGTCTAAAACAGAAGGGCAACTTCTATATTTCTACAAATAACTCTTGTTCACTCTTCTCCAAAGCAATATGTTTCAATCATATTCTTGTTTGAGAAACTTGTCCAGCTATCAGAGATCTTTATTGTTATCTCCAACTTTGTGTGTGTAATAGATTTTGATGTGACATATAAAGAACAAATTCCAGATAATTTTATACGTTTATTAAACTTACTTTAGTTTTAATTATGAATGTTTCTGAGCAAATATCTTCGTTGTTGTTTTAAAAAAGAAAAGCCAACAAAAGGTATTACATGTTAGGGTTCTCAGTGGGATTCAAGGTCTCTTCTAAAATATTAATAGCAGGAATATTTTAAAAATCATAGAAGTGTAACTTGTGGCATAGAATAACTAGAATCCTAACTTCAAAGATTTCATTGAAGATATTGATTTCTGACATTTTGTTCCTTTCCAGATTTGAAGCCATATAAGTATGCAGGCTATCCAATGTTGATTAAGACAATCATAATAGAAACTTCAGATAACCTCTTGTTTTCCAAAGAGTCTCCTCTGTTGCCAGCTGCCACAGAATTAGCCTTCTACACAGTCAATTGTTCAGCACTTAATGCAGAAGAACTAAGGAGAGAGAATGGAATAGAGGTACATTCAAACTTATTAATAGAAATTTTTGTTGTATTATATTCTACAAAGGGGAGAAATGGATTTTAAGAATGATTATTACTAAATATTTTCAGGAATTTTAATTTGCTCTTACAGTCACAATGTTATAAATACAAAGTTTTAAACAAAACTGCCTTTGAGTTTGTACAAACAGAAGAAATTTTAAAACTCTGCTGTTTTGATTTCACATTGTAGAATACTAGAAATGTTTATGAGCAAATAAATATTTGGGCTATTAAATCTCAGCTTGTAGCAGGAATAGATATCATAGTGCCTTCAAGTGTTACAGACTTCTTCATTTGCTATAAATCCGTGCCTTTGCTGCTGCTGGCTGAGATTAATGGGATTTGGTATGGAAATACTAGGTTGTTTACATCTGTATTATATCTTTAAAATATTGTTCAGAGTTGGTATACATAGCTTTCTATGACCAACTTTTGATAGTTTTCCATTTGGCAATCTACAGAACAAATGTCATCCATCCTTACAGGTTTTGCAAGAAGCTTTTAATCGTTGTGTTGCAGTCCTAACACGTTCTAGTAAGCCAGAGGATATGTCAGTCCAGGTAATTCTTAAAGAAATCCTATCATATCATGAATACTGGTATGTGGTCTAAAATATAAATAAAATATAACTATACAGGAAACTGCAAAGATAAATTAGAACGGCAATCCATTTTGCTCAAGCACCAATACCATTCTTTGTAATTTCTATTATTATTTCATTTGTATGACTGCCCAACTCACTGAAGCAACTCTAAGTAGATAGCAGCATGTTAAACACAATACAAATAAACATCAAGCCAATAGCACTTTTGGAGGTCTTCTAGTCTAACCTCCTAATCAACCAGGAGATCCAATACCAAGTCAGACAAATGGCTATCCAGTCTCTTCTTAAAACCTCCAATAATAGAGCATCGACAACTTCTGAAGGCAAGTCATTCCACTGATTAATTGTTTTCACTGTCAGGAAATTTCTCCTTAGTTTTAAATTGGATCTCTCTTTAGTAAGTTTCCATTCATTGTTTTTTGTCCTGTCTTCAGATGGTTTGGGAAATAGGTTGACTCTCTCTTCTTTGTGGCAGCCCTTAAACATTGGAAGACTACAATTATATCACCCCTATCCTCATTAGACTAGACATATCCAGTTACTCAACCATTTTTCCAATGTTTTAGGTTCCAGTCCCCCTAATCATCTTTGTTGCTCTTCTCTGAATTTTTTCTAGAGTCTCAACATCTTTTTTGTATTGTGCCAATCAGATTTGGCTACAGTATTCAAGGGTGTTCTTATCAAGGCATTATAAAATGGTACTAACTCTTCATGTGATCTGGATTCTATCCCTCTGTTAATGCAACCTAAGGCTGCATTGGTTTTTTTTTTTGGGGGGGGGGTGACTACAGCACACTGCTGGCTCATGTTTAAGTGGTTGTCCACTAGAACTCCCAGATCTCCACTAGAACTCCCAGATCTCTCTCATAGTTACTGCTGTTGAGCCAGGTACCACCTATTCTATACCCGTGCATTTGTTTTTTCTTGCCTAAGTGTAAAACATTACTTTTCTCACCACTGAATTTCATTTTGTTGGATTCGGCCCAATGTTCCATTCTGTAAAGGCCATTCTGGATCTTGAGCTTATATTATAAAGTATTAGGTATTACCACCAGTTTGATGTTACCTGCAAATTTGATGAGTTTCCCTTCTATCCCTTCATCTAAATCATTTATGAAAAATACTGAGCCTAAGACCTTAGGGTACCCCATTGCATACATCCCTCCATTTAGATGTAATTCCATTAAGGACTAGACATGGAGTATGGCTGGTCAGCCAGTTATTAATCCATCTGGTGGTGATGCTATCTAGTCCACAATTTTTTTATCTTACCAAGTAGCAAGTTGTGGTCCATTTTGTTAAATATATTACTAAAGTCCAAACACAAACAACATTTTGCTAGTCAGTTTGTCAAAGAATGCATTTGCAAGACACCATTTGTCAAAGAATATCTGACAAACCTTACAATTTTTGCTTATAATTTTGCTTGCCTCTAAGCGTTTCCAGGATTTTCTCTGGTATTGATATTAGGCTGATTGATCTTTATAGTTTCTTTGGACTAGGAAATCATTCTATAGAAAATCAAAGTTGTGACTGTCTTATTCCAAATGTTCCCTTCTATATGATCAAGGGCCATAAGAAAAAAACCCTTTTAAATATGAAAATAATTATTGAAAAAAAATCACTTAACTACATTTCTAGAAGCCGGGCAACTATTAAAAGGGACAGGAATAGAGAAAATTTAAGCCAAAAGTGACCAGTTCACTCCTTTAAGCCTCAAATAAAAACCAGGATATAGGAAACTAATCTATATAAATAAAAATGTAAATGTCCGTTTGTACATAACCGTACATCTCTGAAAGTTCTTCACCGATTGCTTTCAAATTTTGACACCACATTGTATTTGACTATGGGCGTGCTTTTATATACCTATATTATATACATGTCACACTTGTGACAGGTAAAAACATGAAAAACATTGAAAGACATTGACAAATATTGAAAAACATTGAAAAACAGTGCCATCTGCTGAACGTAAAACCAACATGGCAGCCTCCCAGCCGTGATTACGCTCAACAGATTTCTGCTCCTTATATTTAGACTCTCCATATTGCTTCCAAGAAATGTGCATTTGGAAAGCAGAGATGCCCAAGGGCCATATCCTGCCACTAGGCTCAGCAGGTAGGCAGCCAGCTCCCCACCGGGAAGCCCTCGCAGCCGGTGCTTCTAGGGCTCGGCGGGGTCCACCCTAGCCTGGGTCTGCCCTCTCCCTCCCCCGGCCACCCCGTGAACTAGCCTCGCCCGCTGCTGCCGCCCATCCCCCTTGCCAGCCACTCTCGGGGCTCCCTGCAAGGAACACCTGGCAACGAGGCTGCCTGGGTCCACCGAGCGGGAACCCTCCGTCCCTCGCCTGGCCCGAATCGTGCCTGGCCCAGCGCTACCATGGGCCCCGAGGTCAGAAAGACCAGCTGCTAACCGGCGCAATGCAAATCTGGTTGGTGAGCGGGAGATGGAGACAACTGGAGCCTCAGGGTCGCCTTTGACCAGCGCCGCCTTTGATTCCCAGGTGGACGCTCTGGCAGTTCACCGAGCCTACACGAAAATTTTGCCCTCTGGCAGAAAAGGGGCTCCGGGGAGGCTTCGGGGGGCAGAAATGGGCAGGAGGGAGAATGGCCAGCCCTCCTTTGTTTCGCCTGGAAGAGCAGGGGATTTAATCATTCCCCTGACCTTGGCAGGCGGGGGAGGAGAACTGCGCAGCAGGGGTCCAGTGGGGTGTGCATGGCTCCTGGCTTTGCCGCTTTGTTCCTTCAGGCGGGAAGCCCCAAACCAGCCTCAAACCCCCGCCGCACCCCCTCCCTCCCTTTCCCTTCCCTGCTATGCGTCTCCCTGTTGAGCCCCCTGAGAACATCTGTGTAGGGAGGATGGAGGGGGGCCCCGAGTTTCTGCTGTGGTGCGGAGAGCTGTGAAGGCCTGGCCTGAAAAGGTAAGGGCGATGGCGAGGGATGCAGAAGAGGCCAGGCCAGAGACAGAGATAAACAGAGAGAGAGGGAGAGAGAGACAGAGAGAAATACAGAGAGACGGGGGGGGGGAGAGAAACACATACAGAGATACAGAGAGGGAGGGTGGGAGAGACAGAGACAGAGAGAGATACAGAGAGAGGGGGGGAGAGAGAGACATAGAGATACAGGGAGAGGGGGAGAGAGAGACACATAGAGAGATACAGAGGGGGAAGAGAGAGAGACAGAGAAAGATACAGAGGGGGGGAGAGAGACAGATACAGAGAGAGGGGGAGAGAAAGACAGAGAGAGATACAGAGGGGGGAGAAAGGGAGAGGCAGAGAGAGATACAGACGGGGGAGAGAGAGAGACATAGAGAGATACAAAGAGAGAGGGGGAGAGAGAGAGGGAGGATTTTGTGGTTCCCATTGTTTTTTAGCAACCGGTTCTCTGCCCTAATCACCAGCTGGGTAGGCATGGCTTGGGGGCTGTCATGTGACTGATTAAGGTGAGTGACGTCGAGTTGGCCACGCCCACCAAATGTTGGTGGAGAGTTTAGAACTTCAGCCTCGCTCTTTTAGCCCAGTGGAACCACCAGACTGGGTCACAGCAACGCGTGGCCGGGTCAGCTAGTAATATATAAATATAACATATATATATATGTATATATGTATATGTATATATATAAATATATAAGTAATGTATGGTCCTTGACTTACAATCACAATTGAACCTAAAATTTCTGTTGCTAAGTGAGACAGTTAAGTCAATTTTGCCTATTTCACAACCTTTCTTATTAGTAACTTTGTTGTTCAGTTAGTAACATGGTTGTTAAGTGTATATGGTTTCCTCAATGATTTTGTTTGTCAAAAGATCACAAAATGTAATCATATGAGCCAGGACATTGCAACAATCATAAATATGAACCAGTTACCAAGCATCTGAATTGTGATCATGTAACCATCAGGATGCTACACAACGGTCATATCTGTGAAAAATGGTAATAAATCGCTTTTTTCAGTGTCTTTTTGTAACTTCGAACGGTCATTAAATGAATGGTTGTAAGTCGAGAACTACCTGATAATAGTTCTCATTAGAAAAACACTGGTTGGATCCAAATTTAGTCCTATTTACTGAGATACAAACTTAAAAGTTAATGGAGCTTACAGTGCTCATCAGGCTCATCGGGTTTTTTTCTATTCATAGGTGTGTGGACACATTAGTAAATGTTACAGCGTGGCTGCTGAGTTTGAAGATTGCAGAGAGAAAATTACTGAAATGCCCAATATTATTAAGGACCTCTGCAGAGTGCTGTATTATGGCAAGGTAAACTCTTGCTTGGCAGCTGTAATGATACAACTCTTTCAAAATAGTTCCTATATGGATATAGATGCTGTGTAATTTTATGAGAGGATCTCATTCAAAAGAAATTCATATTTCTTAGCGTGCAAAGAAGACATTTTTGTCTTAGCCTGCTAAACTAATTTTGTTGAACATAATAAGCTTCTGGCATCAGTAGACCATCTGCTTATCTTATTGCACTTCAATTATGCTATTATGCTATATTATAGTATGCTATAATATAAGCAATTATGCTACAAGCAATACATTTCAGGGGGGGAAGCAGAAATGTGTAAGGAACTATGGCATTTTACATTAGTAGATCTCTTAATTCCTACTAAATTTCAACAGCTGTCACTAAAATCCCAAAACAAATGTATTTATTCCTGTTTAGAACATTCCACGTGTGGCTTCAATCGGAGTAGAATGTGTCAGCTCATTTGCAGTGGATTATTGGCTACAGACACATCTATTCCAAGCTGGTGTTCTGTGGTATTTATTAGGCTACCTATTTAACTATGATTATACACTGGAAGAGAGTGGCATTAAAAAGAGTGAAGACTCTAATCAGCAGGTAATCATTATGCATTGCTAATAGACTGCTAATTTTTAAAATAATGAAATATTACATTTTAAATTTCCTGAAAAATATTTCTAGAATGCTCTTAGGAATGTACAGATTAATTTTAAATCCTTAGTCAGGATTGTTTAATATGTTTTTTAAATAAACCCTTGAATGTTTATTGCGGATTTTAGATAAATAATTGAAGAGGCATTCCGAGTGAGTAAGTGAGTGAGTGAATAAATAAATAAATAACGCAATACTCAGTGATCTCCTTCTATTGGTTCAAAGCAGAGTATAGTAATACAAGAGATGGGGGAGAGATAGGTAGATAAGGAGAATTAAATGGAAATAGTTCCTTACTTTATTCCAAGAATGGCTTGGATCTGGATGAATCATTACCTAATGACCATCAGGGATTCACAGAATGACTGCAACTGGGATTGCCAGTATTGCCATTGCTAAACAAAATGGGTGTGTGGACATTTCACTTAGCAACCGCATCATTTAGCAATCGAGTTATCAGTCCCAACTAGGGTTATTCAGTGAGGACTACTTGTAATCTACAGTAATTATATTTCCTGGAAGATTCAGGAAGGATTCAAGAATTCAAGATTCCTGAAGAATCTAGATTCAAATAATAATCACAAAATGCAGTGATTTAGAAACCTGAACTTTTGCACAAGCATTTTAAAAGAGGATAGTCTAGCAAAATGTAAATTATCATGCTGCTGCTTCAGCTTGAATATACTACCAGCAAAGGAGTTTTATAATTTACCATGTTTTATAATTTACCATGAAGATTGGTTGATATGTGAAGCTTCAGCAATCTCTGTCTCAGTTGTGATCTGAAGCTGTTCCTCCTTATCAATATCATATTTTCCCCATGTAGCTCTTTACCAAAGAATCATGGAAATTTCACAGAAGGGGGCATTCCAATTCCTATTCTTTTCCATTATTCCTTCAGAAAAGCTCTAGTTTATTCATTTAGGAAGATTCTCCTGAATAGCGACACTAGGCATAGAGTTAATGGCAATTACCAGAATTGTTAAGATTCAAGTTTTATTTCTTGTGTATCTATATTCTTTCTTTAAAGAGAGAAGATGATATTAGAATAGATAACAAGCATGGATTTATTTGTATTTTCTGTTCATAGGAAGTAGCTAATACCCTTGCCAAACTCAGTCTCCTTGCTTTGAGTCGACTTGGTGGATACCTTTCTGAAGAGCAAACTACACCTGAGAATCCAGCAATCAGAAAAAGTCTTGGAGTCCTGTTGACCCCTTACATTACAAGGAAACTTGCTGTGGTCAGTCCTGCTGAGGTACATGAAAAGTGTGACATTTTATTACAATAGTGCTTTTGTTTTTATTTAACGAAGATACTGAACCGTGTTCTAAAATATATAATGTGTTAGTTTTCATAGTGACAGGATATGAAAATATTCAATCATAACAATATTGGAAAATAAACCTTGCACAGGGCTTTAGTTTTCAGTATTTTAGCTTCTGTTTATTACTCAAAATATTTGAAAAATGTAGGAATTTGTTTCACCCTGCCTTTTTAATTTGTCACGTGTTCTTTCTGGTCAGGTCCTAATAGAGAGTGGTTAATACTAAAAGTTTCATCACAGCTTCCGTCTGCCACATGAAACTTGGCTTGAAATAGCTCTTGAGTGCTACATATGGTAAATGAATGTACTGCAGACTGAGCCACATTATGTATACATTGCTGTCACATTGTTCAAGTGTTCCTAGTGGAAACCATACATTTGCAATAGTGAGTTGAAGTTGAAGTTGACCTGTATGACAAGACACTACAAGTTTTCTTTTTTCATTTTTTGTCTGTTTGTTTGAAAGCTAAAGGCAACTTAAATGGAGTCTCCTCTAATTTTATTCTTCAAAAGAATAACATATTAAATAGCTAGACTGAGAGAAAATACTTGACCCAAAGTTACCCAATAAACTCTGTAATTGAGAGAGGTCTTCATACATCCAACACCTTAATAACTGCATTATGGCAGGTCATCTCTTAATTTATACAGCAACTGCAGAGCAAAGACAGTTTCATATGTTTTATGTAGTATCCATATAATAAAAAATGAGATTAATAAACCAGAGTTGAATTCTTAAAAAGTAAAAAAAAAAAATCATTTGTATATATTAAAGATTACACAAAAGGAGATAAGCAGTGTATTATACAATTTAGAACCAAAACTAACAGTAATCTTCAAAATGTGTTTAATACTTTATTAAGCTTATCAGAGATAGCTATTGTGAGAAGAAGTTATTAATGTTTTTATTTATTATTAATTTCATAAATTTTCACAATCCTAAAGGATTCCTGACATTTCACAAATATACCATTAAACATGCACAATCCAATTAAATAAACATAGAATACAAATCATTTAAACAACCAATCTGTAATACCTAGGCAAGAATGTATTACATGCTTTTTGAAACACTTCATTTACCTGTTTTCAGAAAGCAGTGAGAATGGGAGCTGATCTAATATCCCCTGGGAGGCCATTCCAAAGAACTGAAATTGCCCCTAAAAAATAGTACTTCCATAACATTAGTCACCACCTAAAATCTGAAACTGCTAATGACTTCCCTTAGCTGTATTAAATTGGCCAGCCAGTTCCAATGGGAGAATGGAGTTCTGCAGACAACTTGGCTTTCAAGCCATTTAGGGCTTTGTAAATTAGCACCAGCACTTGAGAACCAGCGAAGAGTCTAAATGCTGGCCAATACACAAGTTGCCAGATTTGGAATCAGTTGAAGCTTCTGATTTGCCTTGAAAGGCAATATAAAGCTATGTGAAGAAACAGAACTGCTCATCCAGGAGAACACCCAATTTACAGATTTGTCCTTTTCTCTTTCCTTTACTTCTCATGAGCCATCACTAGACCATGCAGAGAATGATGGTGAATATACAGTTACTTCATCTTGTTCCAGACTGAAGGGGACAGGGCTTTAGATCATCAACCCAGCCTGAAGTAGTGATGTAAATCAGCATATTGCAATTTGATGATAGTGGACTTCAATCTGTTGAACCACACATCCTAATGGTGCATGTAAATATTAAATAGGAGTAAGGAGACGACTGACCACTGAATCCATCTCTCCTTCATCTCAGGATTAAAATCAGCCACTGTGGAAAGAGCATAAATACTATAACCTCCAATCCCCAACATTACCCCCATGCATGTGGTCCAGAAGGATACTATGGTTGATAGTATCAATTTTCTTATCTTGGATATGTTTTCTTAATTAAATATTTTTATATAGATTCTGAAAATGCTCAACAGCAACACAGAGAGCCCTTACTTGATCTGGAATAATCGGACAAGAGTTGAACTCCTTGAATTCTTGGAATCTCAGCAGGAAAGCATGATTAAAACAGTGAGGCATTTTTTCAAAATTGTTAGGATGGCATGTTAGGGGATTAAGTTTGATACTGTAAGATGCATATGCAGGTTGCTGCTTCTTCCAGAATGAATAAATTATTTTCAGATGTACTGGGCTATAATGTATATTGATTATTTTAATATGAAAAACATCTTGAGTTTTTCAATGTTTTTGCTCAACAAAATATATATCTGAATTTGTAAAACATGATCATATGTTTTTTGTGGATATTTTTATAATGATGCACACAGATATGTTAATATGCAGTGAAACTTCCATTTAATTGACAAATGAATCTTGAATGCAACAGATTGGTCTGTCCCATCTTGAAATAATAAAAAGGTTCCATCCAAAATAATTTGGAAGAAGCATTTAAATCTGTATTAATTTGACATCATATACATCAATTTTCATCATTTGCATAATAACATTATTACATGCATGGCATAAATGCAAATCAGTGATGTCATTGCACAAATGAAGTAAATGGCATAATTTGTGATTTAATTAACTAACATTTGGAAATACATCCACTTCCCACCAATTAATCTATTAAATCGAGGTTTCACTGCACTTCTTGTATAGTTTAAATTTGTTGGTATTTTTGTTTGTCTTCCAATATCTACATTCAAGAGTAATAGAGATAAGCATACCTCCTGTTTTTATCTCTCTACAATGCTAGTCTCTTATGAAGTAAACTGGAAGTAAGATTCTGAAATCAACTGCAGATAGTCCTCAATTTACAACCACAATTGAGACTGGAATTTTGATTGTTGGTAGTCATAAATCCAGGCACCCACTGACTACATTCCATTTTACAACTCTTTTTGTGGCATTCATTAGGTGAATAATGGGATCATAAGTCTGAATCACATAGTTGTTAAGCAAATGACACAACCATAAATAAAAACCCATTCTCTAAATGGGTTCTTTTTGCCACAAATTGATAAAACTGTTTTGCAAGATACTGCAACCAGTTGTAAATGTGAACTGGTTGCCAAGCACCCAAAATGCCGGGGGGGGAGAGGGGTTGGGGGCTGTGCAATATTTTATGATGTCCTCAAGTATGTTATGGGCAATAAAGCACCCATTCCAAGGGAACAGTCATAAGTCAAAGACTACCTATATCATTTTCATAATTTCAGATATATTTATAATAAAGATTGTGCTGCTTTTAAATCAATTTTCATTTAAGATTTCTCATTACAGCAACCAATAAATCATTTTAAGAGTATAATTCATTATGTACAAATTCTGAGATAATATTTTTATTTCTAAAGGGTGAATGTGATAAAAGTTATGGATCTGAATTTGTCTTCAGTGATCATGCAAAAGAACTTATTGTAGGAGAGATTTTTGTTAGAGTTTACAATGAAGTTCCCACATTCCAGTTAGAGGTAAGAGTCTTTAGGTTTAAAATAGAGATGTTGATTAACAAATATTTATAAGAATCACATATTTTAGAACAGGGACAAGTAATTTAATAATCTCCAGAATTTTGGTATTCAATTCCTATCACCCATAACTAGTATGATATATGGGATTTCCAAATGTTTGGAGAATACCATTTTGATTATTTAGTTTATAAAAATCATTTGGTTGCCTAATAAAGTTAAGAAAGGATGGTAGTCTATTACAAAAATGTATTTTGTTTATGCCTTAACTCAACGTGTAAAGTTTTAAAAAGATGTTTTCTTTTTATTCAACTATTGAAATTTCTTCTTAATTCTTGTATTATCCTGCAGCTTCCAAAAGCATTTGCTGCAAGCCTTTTGGATTATATAGGGTCTCAAGCCCAGTATCTTCATACATTAATGGCCATAACTCAGACAGGGAAAGTTGAATCTAACCAACATGGAGAGCGACTCAGAAGAGTTGAAATGGCTCTGGAAGCTCTGAGAAATGTGATAAAGCACAACTCAGGTAAATGAGGCATGCTGGACAGAGGGTGTGTATATATACATACAGTGGGGCAAAAAAGTATTTAGTCAGCCACCAATTGTGCAAGTTCTCCCACTTAAAAAGATGAGAGAGGCCTGTAATTGACATCATAGGTAGACCTCAACTGTGAGAGACAAAATGAGAAAACAAATCCAGACAATCACATTGTCTGATTTGGAAAGAATTTATTTGCAAATTATGGTGGAAAATAAGTATTTGGTCACCTACAAACAAGCAAGATTTCTGGCTCTCACAGACCTGTAACTTCTTCTTTAAGAGGCTCCTCAGTCCTCCACTCATTATCTGTATTAATGGCACCTGTTTGAACTTGTTATCAGTATAAAAGACACCTGTCCACAACCTCAAACAGTCACACTCCAAACTCCACTATGGTGAAGACCAAAGAGCTGTCAAAGGACACCAGAAACAAAATTGTAGACCTGCACCAGGATGGGAAGACTGAATCTGCAATAGGCAAGCAGCTTGGTGTGAAGAAATCAACTGTGGGAGCAATAATTAGAAAATGGAAGACATACAAGACCACTCATAATCTCCCTCGATCTGGGGCTCCACGCAAGATCTCACCCCGTGGGGTCAAAATGATCACAAGAACAGTGGGCAAATATCCCAGAACCACACGGGGGGACCTAGTGAATGACCTGCAGAGAGCTGGGACCAACATAACAAAGGCTATCATCAATAACACACTACGCCGCCAGGGACTCAGATCCTGCAGTGCCAGACGTGTCCCCCTGCTTAAGCCAGTACATGTCTGGGCCCGTCTGAAGTATGCTAGAGAGCATTTGGATGATCCAGAAGAGGATTGGGAGAATGTCATATGGTCAGATGAAACCAAAGTAGAACTATTTGGTAGAAACACAACTCGTCGTGTTTGGAGGAGAGAGAATGCTGAGTTGCATCCAAAGAACACCATACCTACTGTGAAGCATGGGAGTGGCAACATCATACTTTGGGGCTGTTTCTCTGCAAAGGGACCAGGACGACTGATCGTGTACAGGAAAGAATGAATGGGGCCATGTATCGTGAGATTTTGAGTGCAAACCTCCTTCCATCAGCAAGGGCATTGAAGGTGAAACGTGGCTGGGTCTTTCAGCATGACAATGATCCCAAACACACCGCCCAGGCAATGAAGGAGTGGCTTCGTAAGAAGCATTTCAAGGTCCTGGAGTGGCCTAGCCAGTCTCCAGATCTCAACCCCATAGAAAACCTTTGGAGGGAGTTGAAAGTCCGTGTTGCCCAGCGACAGCTCCAAAACATCATTGCTCTAGAGGAGATCTGCATGGAGGAATGGGCCAACATACCAGCAACAGTGTGTGCCAACCTTGTGAAGACTTACAGAAAACGTTTGACCTCTGTCATTGCCAACAAAGGATATATAACAAAGTATTGAGATGAATACTTACTTTCCACCATAATTTGCAAATAAATTCTTTCCAAATCAGACAATGTGATTGTCTGGATTTGTTTTCTCATTTTGTCTCTCATAGTTGAGGTCTATCTATGATGTCAATTACAGGCCTCTCTCATCTTTTTAAGTGGGAGAACTTGCACAATTGGCGGCTGACTAAATACTTTTTTGCCCCACTGTATACATGCATCCATACACATACCTACGTACCCCCTTTAAAAAAATCTGGGAATTTAGATGCAAACTCAGTTATACAGTAGTGGCCAAAATTGTGGAAACCTTTTAGGAAAAGTGTATTTTTGAGGTTTGATGGCTAATAACACCACTTTTTGGGGGGGAGTTTCAAGATAATCATATTCCACTGCTGGAATGACCTGGGAATAGCCCAGATTTTAACCCAATTGAAAATCTGTGGAGCCAACTAAAGAAACTTGTTAGTCAGAAGCGACCCAGCAATAAACACCTGTTAATAGAAGCAATCTTTCAATCTTGATTTCACATAACAGCTGCAGAACTAAAAGATTTGGTTCACTCCATGAGAAGATGCTGTAAGGCCGTAATTCATGCTAAAAGTTATCCAACTAAGTATTAACTGACATGGTGATAATTTTTGTATATCGCATTTTTTTCTGCGTGTTTCACTTTTCTTTAAACCGTAACTGTTATTCTAATAGCAAATCCTTCATAAAAGTTATTGCATTACATTCTTGATTAAATTATCTTTCCATTGATATATAATTTTATGGTACTACTCCAAAAAAAATGATGTTATTAGCCAGTTTTAGAAAATACACTTTTCCCAAAAGGTTTCCACAATTTTGGCCACTACTGTACATCTTATCAATAAAGTACAAGTGAATTTTAATGAAGTCTTTAAAAACTATTTATTAAAATTATTTTTTTTAAATTTCTGTAGGTTCAGAATGTGAATGTATAGGTCACTTTAAGCTGTTATTTTCCCTTCTACGTGTCCATGGAGCTGGTCAAGTGCAACAGTTGGCTCTAGAGGTATAATAATCGTTACTGTTACCATTTTTTAAATGTTATAGAGTCTTGATTATATTTTGTAGTTTAGCCTTCATCAGCTTAGTGCCTCCAGTATGATGGAGTAGAACTTTTGTGTTAGAGCAATAGATTGGAGACTGCTGACATTAATGAACCAAGGTTATGTTTTGTATGAAGCCAGTATTGATTCTGATTCTGAAAGTAGTAAATGGTTTTCTGGACAAAACAGACATGGTTCAAGGCCAAATACAATTAATGCTTACCATTCAGAATACTAACTTCTGGAAAAGTACCAGCCACTCCCAGAACTAAAAGACAGGAAGCAAGCAAATTGAAACAAAAATGTAAATTCAGTTGGAATGGAGATTTCTTATGGTTGAGGAAGAACTATTTTTCTTGCTATAAAAATTCATTTTTAAAATTCAGAGTATTTATGTTTTTCAACATATATTCCATATTTGTTCTAGACTCTTCCAAACCAGGCTAAAGCTTGCTAATCTAGTTTTCTTTAACAGGTGGTGAACATTGTGACAAGTAACCAAGATTGTGTAAATAATATTGCAGAAGCAATGGTTCTTTCCAACTTACTAGCTCTCCTGCATTCATTGCCTTCAAGTATGTGGATCACATTTTAATTTATTTAGGTTCTCTTTTGCTCTTTAGCTAAAAGAACAAAAAGGAATTTTTAGATAAAAAAAAACATTTCTGTCTTCAAGAGTATACGTGTTATTTTACCTAAGAATAATACAGACCCAATTTAGAAAGGCATATATATTTGTCTTTTAAAGCTAACTCTTAGAAGATTTAATAGCAAGTACATTTTACTGTAGCTGACCATATATTAACCTAGTTATAAGTCAAATAGTTCTCAGGTCAAATATGATTCTTGGTTATTTCAAGAATATCATATTCTTGGCAACAGTATGAAAACTCTTTGTTATTATCTTCAGTCAGGATGGTTGTTTTTTTCTCCTATTTTCCATTTGGGCCTTCCATCCATATATAATAATCAGGTGTAGACTATTTATCTTTTTGAGATCAGCCAAGGTTGGCAAAGTGTTGCTGCTTGCTAGAAAGTCTCATAAAATACTGCTAATTAGATAATTAAAAAGAAGGCATAAGGGATTTTTTTTAGATTAATTACTATGCTATACTTTTGACAGTAAAGCAGCTGCTTAATTTTGGATAGTCACATAGTAATAATGTCTTCCTTAAGTTACGTGCACATTAGATATAGAAAGAATTCAGTTAAATTATTAACTTCGCAAGACAGATATAGCATAAAAGTTAATTAATCCAATTGCAATAGAACAGTATATTTTTGAAATAAAATTGGAGATTGATGTCCACCTGTCATATGCCTTATATAAAACAAATAAACCAGGAAATTCTATAAACCTGATATATAACTTTAAACAAACCATGTTGTATTCTCTTAGACTATGTCAAATAGCTAACTATAAAGTTTCACAATTTGTTAATTTTGGCAGGTCGGCAGCTAGTTCTTGAAACTCTGTATGCTTTGACATCTAGTACCAAAATAGTTAAAGAAGCTATGCTAAAAGGTATGACAACTGTCATTGTTTTGCTGTGATATTATTACAAGTTTTTTGTTTTATTCAAAATTAATAGCTTCAATGTAATTAGAAATATTAGCAGTTCTGTATTTTTTTAGGTGCATTAATCTACTTACTTGATATGTTCTGTAATTCAACACATCCACAAGTTCGATCTCAGACAGCAGAGCTTTTTGCTAAAATGACAACAGACAAGCTGGTTGGTCCAAAGGTAAGTATAGCATCATCAATAGATGTTTCACAGATGTTTTAAAAGCAACCCAAGAGATACATACCATACAGTATAAACATAATGCCTTGGATTTGGCTTGAAATAAACTTCTCAGAAATGTTCAATCCTTGCAGGACTTGAAATAATTGAATTGGATGGTCAGAAATAAATAGCAGGCACATGCGCTTGGCTTCCAATTGCCCTATGAGGAAGGCATCACTTCTAGTAATTTTTTCAGAAAAAAACTTATTTTGCTTCATTCCACTGATACAATCCACTTATTTAATTAACTGGAGCACTGGAACTGGACAAATTTGTAAGCTCCATGTCTGTGTGTGTGTGTTTATTCCTTAGGTTAGAATTATCCTAATGAAATTTCTACCTGGTGTCTTCATGGATGCTATGAGAGATAATCCTGAAGCTGCTGTTCACATTTTTGAAGGAACACACGAAAATCCAGAGTTAATATGGAATGATAGCTCCAGAGAGAAAGTATCTACGACCGTTCGCGAAATGATGCTAGAGTATGTCACAATAAAAATAAATAATTTATCTACATTTCATTCCAACAAATCTACTACTTTGAAAACAATTTCTTTCTGTAGGCTTAAAATATTTAATGTCTTTGGTGCTCTCTGAGCTTGCTTGTTTTCTTGCAGACATTTCATTACCCTTAACTAGGTAACTTTATCAGTGCTAATAAGGAGTGCTATGTGCTGTCAGTTTATATTACGGTGACTTGTCTGTCTGTGTGGGTGGGGGCAGTCTTAGAGATTCTTTGGGCTGTTTACTGATGGTTCTTTGGCAGGTTTTTTTATTGGGGTATTGCTTACTTGATTGTTGGTCTGAAGTTGATCTTCGAGTTAATCTATGCTGATTACTGGGGGAGAGGTGCTGGAGCCTTTTTCTCTTGGGCTGGTTGATTGTCTCAGCAGACAACAAACAGACAAGTCACCAGAATATAAACTGACAGCAAACAGCATTACTTACTAGCACTGATGATGTTACCTAGTTAAGGGTAATGAAACATCTACAAGAAAACAAGCAAGCTCAGAGAGCACCAAGAACCCTCATTTCAACTCTGAGCTACAAATATTCTCCTTTGTTGGTATTTAATGTCTGGGTTAGTTCATCAAACTCTTAGAAATAGTTCAGCTAAAGATTGCATGTTGCTAGCCTGACTTTGTTTTCAGAGAAAATAATAATTTTCTTTCCTCCTTTTTAAAGGCACTTTAAGCTGCAAAGGGACAATCCTGACATTAACTGGAAGGTAAAAACATCTTAATATAAATATAATTAAAATATTTACATTTTGTTTTATGTTATTGCTTATGTCCTGCCTATTTTCATCCTGTGCAAATATTCTTTCATTGCCTGCTCTGATTGTCATATTGGGACTTTGTAGAACATATTTTTAAAGCTGGTACACTCAAAATACATCAGTATGCAACCCTTATAATTTCCAGATAATGTGTTATTTGCAGGGCAATATTGGGGAAGTAGCAACAGTATATTTTATTATGTATTAAATAACTAGGAGCCTTGGTGGCACAGCGGACTAAAGTGCTGTTAAAGTAGCACTTAGCTGCCAGCTGCCTGCAATTACTGCAAGTTCAAATCTCACCAGGCTCAAGGTTGATTCAGCCTTCCATCCTCCCGAGGTAGGTAAAATGAGGACCCGGATTGTGGGGGCAATAAACTGACTTTGTATAAAAAGAACACCGCTTAGGGGGTGCCGAAAGCCCTGCTAAGCAGGTATATACAAAAGTATGAAGGCTATTGCTTAATGCATTGTAAGCCACCCTGAGTCTCCGGAGAAGGGCGGCATATAAATCAAACCAATAAATAAATAAATAAATAAACAAACAAACAAACAAACAAACAAACAAACAAATAAATAAATAAAGTTGGAACTGCTCTTTTCCCTAATCACCAGCTATCCAAGCTAGGCCCCAACTGTCCATTATAGACTTTCAAAGTAATCTAGTAAAGATGCTTGGTTTCAGTTTTAGATATTTTTATTCTAACTTTCTTCCTTTTGCCCATAAGTAATAAATAAAAAATAGCAGAAACTTTTATGTCAGGGAAACAGAATAACTTTTTTTCTCCTTTTTTGGGTTGATTTAGTTGCCTGAGGACTTTGCTGTTGTATATGGTGAAGCAGAGGGTGAACTGACTGTAGGGGGTGTCTTCTTAAGAATCTTTATTGCCCAGCCAGCCTGGGTCCTACGGAAACCTAGAGAATTTCTCATTGCCTTATTAGAAAAATTCACTGAACTACTGGAGAAGAATAATCCCCATGTAAGTTTAGTTTCTAAGTTTGACTTCAACTTTAGTTTCTAAGTTTGTGTGATTGTTAATTTAAATTTTTGAAAATGATTGAATCCTTCTCATTCATAGAAAAGGAAATAAATTTAGGAAGAAATAAATTTGAATTCTTTTTCTAGCTTATATTCACTAATTTAAAATTGAGTATTTCTGTTGATAGCAGCATTCACTGAAGTAGACTTACAGAAGAGTTAATGAAATTTTACTTTTGAATAAATCTAAAATAAAATTAGCTTTTTTATTCTTTGTTCTGGTAATAGAATATTTTATATTGACTAACAATTCAAGATGATAAAAGACATTAATATAGATTGAAATTAGTGAAGCCTATGAAAATAGTTTTTCAGTCTAGACCGATATCCTTATTGAATGCTGATTACAAAACATTTGCTTCAATAATTGCAGAAAGACTAAAAGATTTTTAAATCAATTTATACATCCAGATCAAAATGGTTTGTTACCTAAGAGACAAAACAATATAAGAATAATTTTAAATTATTGGAATATTATGAAGCACATCCAGAGAAGCAAATGGCATTGATTTTCCTAGATGCACAGAAAGCGTTTGATAATGTGAACTGGCAATTTATGCTGGCACAACTAAATGATATGGACTTTGGGGAGAGATTTATTAATGTGATTAAAGCGATATATTATAAACAAACTACAAAGGTGATGGTAAATGGAGATATGACAGAAGGTTAGCAGTAAGAAAGATATTAACAAGTATGCCCCTTGTCTCCTCTATTATTTGTATTGACATTGGAAGTATTAAATAGAAATATTGGACAAGGTACAGAGATAAAAGACATAGAAATAAAAAAGGAGAAGTATAAACTACAGGCATTTGCAGATGATTTAGTTTTAGAAGATCCACAAGAAACAGGGCCTAAATTAATAAAAAAAATTAGAAGAATATGGTGAAGTGGCAGGTCTGAAAATAAATAGAGAGAAAATGAAAATTCTCCGATGTGCTGACGTGAGAATCCAAAGTATGGGTTAACTTCACCTTCTTCCTCTTAGAGACTGAGTCTATTAAACTTTTATGCCATTCCTCTCCTGACTGAACCCCAGTTTGACTCAGTCTTCATCAGAGAGAGATATGTGTCGTAAAAGCTACTCAGAACAAAGGGATTTAACTTACTTTGGATTCTCAGAGTCAACAATAGAGGAATTTATCAGTGTTTTGTTTTTGCGATTTAATTCAGCCTTTCTGGGTGGCTGAGAAACACAGCCTGTCTCTTTAAGAGCAGCTATGTGGAGCAGAAGGCAGCAACTTCGGAAGCGACACTTCTGGAGCGTGCTGCAGAGCTGTTTTGGACGGAAGCTTGGTTTTATTTAATTTCTTGCAAAAGTCAGTTGTTGAGCGCTAGAGAGAACAAGGAAAAACAGCTGAGAAACAGAAATGGCGCACTTCAAAGAGCGCTTCACAGAGCAGCTGTGGCAAGGCGGGAAAGCCGAAGATCAGCTGTTAGGCGCTGGAGAGGCTTTTTAAAGGGGATGCAGTCACATGGCTTGGATTTAGCTACTTTTGGCGTTGGAGTGAATTTAAATGACGCTGCAGCTTGGGTGGGCTAGGAAGCTGCTGGAAGGACCCAACTGGCTAACCTGGTCTGATTGACACAGCCACTACAAAGAAACATCTAGTTTCCCATTCTTAACGGCACAACTGCTGCAATAAGTGTGCTGGCTACCCGGTCTGACTGGCACAGCTGCCAGAACAACGTGGCTGGAGATCTAATTCTCTCAGCCCAGCCGCTATTTCCAGTTCATCCCAGGAGAGTCGACGTTTGGTGTGCTTTCATCAGCAGACGTTCTGGCACCTCCCCAGCAGGGGTCCAGAAAATCCCCAGCACAGCAACAAAGGATGAAGAGTACTGCTGCATCAGAAAGTTATGAGGTGGCTCATGTGAGTGGGGAAAAAGGGGGGGTCTCAGTACAACCCCAAATAGAATAAAGAAGCCCCTCAGCATCAAAAGTGGGCAGTGGGAAAATAGTTGCCAAGATAAGGGCAAAAACCCTGCATGTAAAGAAAACCTCTAAAGCTGAGGAAAGGGATGCCCTGAGGCATCAAAGAGCTTTGGAAAAGGAAATCTCAAAGACTAAAAGACATGCTGAATGAAGAGAGCTAACAGAGCTCTCTGGGAGAAATGAAATTGCTCCCTCCTTAAGGCTCTCTGAGACAGCCAAGGAACAGAGGCATATAAGTCCCCCAAATTGGTTGCCAGATGGTGCCAAAGAACAATCCTTACAGTCAAATAGCCTGTCAGCTGAGAAGGGATAGGAGCTAGATTTTAAAAAGATAGATATGGCTTCAGAGGCCACTTTTACCCCCACAAAGGCGGGGCTCCGCCCAAGGGAAATTCAAGGCTCAGAGATTTCTGAGCAAATGAGGCTTTTGATATTCTTAACACAAGGACTTATCACATCCTTGCAACAGGGGAACCAGAATGCTTCTGTGGCATCAGACCCATCCTTGGAGCATAGCCAGCACCCAGCACCCCAAGATCAGGAAGATTTGAGGACTTTTATGGAGTCTCACCAGTGGTGAAATTCAAATATTTTCCCTACCGGTTCTGTGGGTGTGGCTTGGTGTTCATGTGATGGGGTGGGCATGGCTGCACACCTGACACAAACAACGTAAAAGCAGCTGGACTTTACACAAAATGACCATGCAACAAGCAGGAACCTCACAGAGTCACAGAGAGCTCAAAAATCAACTATCACACTTTACACAAAAATAACACAAAAGCTGCACAACTGACTCACACACAATGTAAAAGCAGCTCACAAAATGGCCCCTGCAACAAGCAGGAACCTCACAGCCAATCAGTCACAGCTGATTTTCTCACAGCTGATTGTTAGTAAAAAAAAATGCTAAAAAAAAAGTTCCAACATTGCCTCGCACAGCTGATCATCAAATTTTTTACTTTTTTAAGCATTTTTTTACTACGGTTTGGGCGAATAGGTAGTAAAAAAAATGCTTTAAAAAGTTTTTGAAAGGTCCAACGATCGCGCGGCACAGCTGATTGTCGTACTTTTTAAAGCATTCTTTTATTACCGGTTCGGGTGAATGGTAGCAATTATTACTACCGGTTTGGGCGAACCGGCCCAAACCAGTAGCATTTCACCCCTGAGTCTCACTCTCCCACTCCATCCCTCTACAGAGTAGAGATTGGATTTCAGAAGAGGAGGACCAGAGAGACAAGTCTTTCAGAGGATGAGGGATTGGCTCCTGAACTCCCAGCGTTCACGAGGCTGTTCCGCCCATCCCTCTTCAAACCTCTCTTGTTTAAAGTCACGACCACAGCCAACAGTGTATCAAAGTCTGCTCTGGGCCTACCAGATCCAAATGTGCTCCTCTACACAACCAGTTGCGCAGAATGAGGAGGTTCCCTCGCCACAATTGTTCCGTGATATGGTCTGGAAACAATGGGCCCAACCAGTAGAATATCCAACCCAAATGGGAATGTCAGGAGATTTTATAATGTAGCCACACACTTCGCAGAGAAGCTACAATTACCAACAGTAGACAGGCCGGTTGCAGCCTTAACATCCTCTAACCTTGTGTCTCAGGACACAGCAGACACTCTAAAATCAGAGGATAGGAGAACAGAGCTTTCCCTTCACAGGGCTTAACAAGCAGCGGCCTGGGCAGTCAGGCCAACCACGACGGACTCGCTTTTCAAAAGAGCCTCCTTAGCCTGGCTTTGCCAGATGCAAACTAGAATTCCACCAGATGACCAATGCCTTCAACAAGACATCAGCAAACTGGCAGCAGCAACGGAATTCTTGGCTGATGCCACCTGATGCAGCCAAATTCATTTCCAGGGCTATAGCATCAGCGGTAATGGCGCGCCACATGCTGTGGCTTTACAACTGGCAGGCAGATGCCAAGTCCAAATGGAGGCTAGACTCTGAACCCTTCACGGGTGGCAAGGTATTTGGGGAAGCCATGGAGTCCATCTTGGTTGAAACCAAGGACAGGAGGAAAATTCTGTCATATCTACACAAGCAAGCAGACCGATGTCCCTCACCTTATGTTCATAGTTCCCCCTTTCGGCAAGCAGAGACTGGACTGGGCTACTTCCAAAGGAGGTTCCCACAGGGAATCAACATACAGATAAAGCCAGATTTCGAGATAGAAACAAACAGCAAGTCCAGGCCAAGAAACCATTTTGGCGCTCTGGAAGCCATCCCTTCCGGCGCTACAAGTGACCCCAGGTGAGACCCTCCCATTGGCGGCTCCCAAGCACTATTCACGAATCAATGGGAGGCAACCACGTCAGACACCTGGGTTCTAAACATAGTGAGACTAGGCCTTAGGCTCGAATTTCTCTCCACACCCCGAGATTCTTCATATGTTGTCCCATACCAGGAGACAACGCAAAGAAGGGCCTCATAGAGGCCGCAATCCAACACCTGTTGGACATTCAAGCTATCCAGCCGGTCCTGACATGCTAACAGGGGCAAGGATTCTACTCCATACTATTTGTGGTTCCCAAGGCCTCGGGGGGCAGGGGGGGGAAATTCTAGACCTAAAAAGATTAAACAATTACCTCATTTACAAGAGGTTCAAAATGCAATCTCTCTAGTTCATCTTGGAGAGCATCCAGGAGGACAACTTCTTAATGTCCATAGACCTAACAGAGGCATACCTTCACATGCCCATCTTATCTTTACATCGATGGTTCCTCCGGTTCTACTATGCGGGTCAGCATTACCAATACAGAGCCTTACCGTTTGGTCTGTCTTCAGCACCCAGAGTGTTCACCAAGGTCCTGGCAGCACTCTCAACCCACATCAGGGCACTACCGATCTGAGTCCAATGTTACCTGGACAACATTTTAATCCAGTCCTCCTCCCAGATGACAGAGGACCTACAAGTCACAACCCGGATTCTTCAGGATCATGGTTTTCTGTCAAATATAGGAAGAGTCATCTGATTCCTACCATTTGCCTTACCTGGGGGCGATCATAGACACTTCACTATGTGAGGTTTACCTGTCACAGGAGCGTCAGGACAGCATAAAGACATTAATAAATCAGATTCGGGCAGACCTCAAGGTTCCTCTAGCCCTTCTCTCAAAGCTCCTAGGCAAGATGGTATCGTGAATCGCAATAATTCCCTGGGCACGTCTACACACAAGGACCTTACAGTGGTTTCTCTTACCTTACCAGAGATCCGGAGAAAGCAATTCAAACACCAAGGTTATGGTCCCACACAAAGTGCTACACTCCTTCCATTGATGGATGTCCTGGGCCATGGACAGGGGTTGTGCTTTCAAGGAGGCCAATCACCTAACCATCACAACAGACGCCAGCCTCTTGCTGGGGCAACCACTTTCAGGCGCAGATGGCACAAGGGCAGTGGTCGCAGGAGGACCTAGCAAACAATATCAACTGTCTGGAACTCAGGTCAGTTCGCTTGGTCACTGGCCACCATATTCTCATCCTGATGGACAATGTAACCACCAAGGCCCACATCAACCGTCAAGGGGGGACACATTCCAGAGCACTCATGCGAGAGGCAGAGCAGTTGGAAAAACAGAAAAAAGAGTTAATGAAGAGAATAGATATTCATAATACTAAGAAAGTAAAATATTTAGGGATTCAACTGACAGCAAGATGTGTAACTATTAAGGAAGATAATTATTATAAATTGTTGCAACAAATTAAAACAGATCTGGAAAAATGGGAAACACTACAATTATCGTTGATAGGAAGAATAGCTACAATCAAAATGAATATATTGCCGAGATTATTATATTTATTTCAGTCAATTCCGATAAAATTGGGGGGGAAATACTTTGAGGAACTTAACAAAATAATATTAAAATATATTTGGCAAGGGAAAAAAGCAAGAATTAGCTTTAAAATGTTGCAGGATTCAAGAAGTAGAGGAGGTTTTGGATTACCAAATTGGGAATTGTATTACCAGGCTGCAGTATTAACATGGATGAAAGAATGGATTGTATTCAGGCATACAAGATTATTGACTCTGGAAGGACATGACTTGCAACTGGGTTGGCATGCTTTCTTGTGGTATGGGAAAAATAAGATACATGGTTACTTTCAAAGACATTATATAAGAAATGCATTAATGTTAGTATGGGAGAAAATTAAAGAGCAACATTATTGGAGGATATCAGTTTGGCTTTCAACAATGGAAGCACTGATTCACCCAAATGTTATTAACATGGGAAATATTGTTAGATATAAAGATATTTTGAATGAAAAGGGGGAACAGGAACTGAGTGATCAAGGGATTGATATGGCATGGCATTCACAAGTGCAGATACATTCTAGATATAAGAAAGATGTTAAATTATATGGTTTCTATAAAGAATTAATAGAATTAGATAAGAAATTAACAGGAACAGAAGAAAGATTGGAAAAAATTGTACAACTACCTATTGGGCAGAAAACTGGAAGATGAACAAGTGAAAGAGACAAGGAGGCAAAAAAATTCAGTCATACAATAGAATTAGATAAATGGCAGAAACTGTGAGACAGGAATTACAAATTAACAATGTGAACTGCATATAAAGAAAATTTGTATGAGATGTTTTATAGATGGCACTTTGCACTGGCGAGGTTGGCAAAGATGTTTAAAGACAGGTCAGCTAAATGTTGGAAGTGCCACCAAATACCTGGGTCTTATTATCATATGTGGTGGACATGTGTAGAAGCAAAAAAAATACTGGACCAAAATACATACATGGCTGGAAAAGATGATAAAATAGCACATTGATTTACAACCAGAAATATTTTTGCTGGGGATTGTACCTGAAACTTATAGTAAAGAGAACACATATTTAATTATACATGTATTAACTGCAGCTAGAATCGTATTTGCACAAAATTGGAAAAGTGAAGAGATCCCTACTGATGAGAATGTGATTAGGAAAATATTAGAATGTGCAGAAATGAACATGTACACTTGCAATTAAGGAGTGTGCAGAAATGAACACTTGCAATTAAGGAGAAAGAACAAACTGAATATTATATGATATGGGAATTATTTTATCAATGGTTAGAGAATAAAAATGGAAGTTGGAAATAAAAGATTAAAAAAGAATAGAAAATACATTAAGTAGAGAGGTAAACAATATGATAATTGTTATTATGATTATTATGTATAACATTTTTATTAGAAGATGTTAAAAGAGAAAAATGAATAAGTTTACTGTGCTCAATTGTTCAATATATTATAATTGTAAGATTAGAGAATTAATATCAATGTAATGAACAATGTTGTAAATTTTGATGATTATTGCACAGAGATATTTGTACCCAGACGACACACTGTTTAAGGGAAGATGGAATGCTTATATTTTTTAAAAAAATAAACTTTAAAAAAAAAGAAAATAGTTTTTCAAATGTCAAAAATAAACTAGCAGCAATACATCATGGAATGTAAGCATGATTGATTCATTATTCATAACAACTTGTGTACCTACAATTAAAATCATTTCTGCAGCTTGAATTTTCTCCAGTATAAGTTCCAAACCTTGAAAACTACCTGGAGTATAGTTTTGTTAATAAGAGAAGCTGTGTTTTGAATACAGTTTTAAAATATTCCATTCATGGAATCCATTGTGATTGCTGTTTAGTCATGTTTTAGTCATGTTTTTCAATCAGATTAATACGATTAAAGTTTAAACTGCTATGTGTGCCATTGTATAATTTACTTTCTTTGTGTTTTGAAACAGGGGGAAACTTTGGAAACAATAACAACAGCAACAGTATGCCTCTTTAGTGCTCAGCCTCAGCTAGCAGACCAGGTTCCTCCACTGGGTCATCTTCCCAAAATTCTTCAAGCTATGAATCATAAGAACAATGCTATTCCTAAAAGTGCTATGCGAGTCATACACATACTATCAGATAATGAGGTATGCAGCCTTAAGTCACAATAAAAGGTGTATGTTTGTCAGGGTTGGTCTTTTTGGGGGGAGGGGGGGACAGAATAACAGAATTGAAAGGCACCTTGGAAGTCTTCTAATCCAACCCCCTGCTTAGGCAAGAAACCCTACACTACTTCAGACAAATGGTTATCCCAATCTCTTCTTAAAAACTTCCAGTGTTGGAGCGTTCACAACTTCTGGAGGCAAGTTGTTCCACTCATTAATTGTTCTAACTGTCAGGAAATTTCTCCTTAGTTCTAGGCTGCTTCTCTCCTTGATTAGTTTCCACCCATTGCTTCTTGTCCTGCCCTCAGGTGCTTTGGAAAATAGCTTGACTCCCTCTTCTTTGTGGCAGCCCCTGAAATATTGGAACACTGCTAACATGTCACCCCTACTCCTTCTTTTCATTAAACTAGACATACCCAGTTCCTGCAGCCATTCTTCATATGTTTTAGCCTTCACTCCCCTAATCATCGTTGTTGCTCTTCTCTGCACTCTTTCTAGAGTCTCCACATCTTTTTTACATTGTGGTGACAAAAACTCGATGCAGTGTTCCAAGTGTGGCCTTACCAAGGCCTTATAAAGTGGTATTAACATTTCATGTGATCTTGATTCTATCCCTCTGTTTATGCAGCCTAGAACTGTGTTGGCTTTTTTGGCAGCTGCTGCACACTGCTGGCTCATATTTAGCTTCTTGTCCACTAGGACTTCAAGATCCTTCTCACAGTTACTACTATTGAGCAAGGTACCACATATACTGTACCTATGCATTTTGTTTTTCTTGCCTAAATGTAGAACCTTACTTTTTTCACCATTGAATTTCATTTTGTTAGATAGCGCCCAATGATCAAGTCTGTTAAGATGCTTCTGTATCTTAACCCTATCTTCTGGAGTGTTGGCTATTCCTGCTAGCTTGGTGTCATCTGCAAATCTGATGAGTTCCCATCTATCTCCTCGTCCAAATCATTGATGAAGATGTTGAAGAATACTGGGCCTAAAACAGAGCCTTGGAGCCCACTTCATATTTCCCTCCATGTAGATGCGGCTCCATTGAGGACTACATGTTGAATGCGGTTCATCAGCCAGTTATGAATCCATCTGGTGGTGATACTGTCTAACCCACATTTTTCTATTTTATCTAGTAGTGGGTTATGGTCTACTTTATCAAATGCCTTACTGAAGTCCAAGTAAATTATATTGACAGCATTCCTCTGGTCCACTAATTTTGTCACTTTGTCAAAGAATGCAATAAGATTAGTCTGACATGATCTGTTTTTGACAAACCCATGTTGGCTTTTGGTTATTACTTTGTTTGCTTCTAGGTGTTCACTGATTCGTTGCTGATTATCTTTTTCAGAATCTTACCTAGTATTAGGGTCAGGCTGATAGGTCTGTAGTTTCCTGGACCTATTTTGTTTTCCTTTTTTGAAGATGGGAACTACATCAGCTCTTTTCCAGTCTTCTGGCAGTTCCCCGGTGCTTCAGGATCTTTGAAAGATATAGTTCAGTAGTTCTTAGATCTTGTCTGCCAGTTCCTTCAGAACCTTGGGGTGTAATCCATCTGGTCCTGGTGATTTGAACTCATCTAGGGTAGACAGGTGCTTATTTACCATTTTTCCCCTATTTTCACGTGTTTCTAATCTGTTTTTTGTGGTGCTGTTTTTGATAGGTTGGACTGTTTTTTCCCTTTGTATAAAAACCGTTGCAAAAAACAAGTTAAGTAGTTCTGTTTTCTCCCTGTTGCTTGTCACCTTCTTGCCACTTTCTCTCAGCAATGGGCCAATTGTTTCCTTGAGGTTTTTTTTTTAACATGTTGGAAGAAGCTTTTGTTGTTGTTATTTTTTACTTTTGTCACATTCTTTGTTCATTGTGAGTCTTAGCTTTCCTCACTTCATCTTTGCAGGCTCAGGCTATTTGCTGATATTTTGCCTTAGTTATGTGCCCCCCTTTCAACTTTTTATACTTGTCCTTTTTGTCTTTCAATGTGTCAGAGAGTTCTTTATGCAGCCATGCTGGTTTTTGAGAGCTGTTATTTTTCTTCTTCATTGGTATTGTGCTAGACTGGGCTTTTATAATCTCACTTTTCAAAATTTCCCAAGCTTCTTGAGTTGTTTTCCCCTTGAGGATTCTCATTCATGGAATTCTTCCCAAGCTCTCTAAGTTTATTGAAATTAGTTCTCTTAAAGTCCAAGACTCTAGTTTGACTTTGTTCTATTGCTTGTGCTTGCATAATGTTGAATTCCAATATTGCATGATCACTCACTCCACAAGGTTCCTGTAGCTTCAACACCACCTATCATTTCATCTCTGTTAATGAGAATTAAGTCCAATATGACTGATCCCCTTGTTCCCTTCTCTACGTTTTGGGAAACAAAGTTGTCTGCTAGGTTTGTTAGGAACCTGTTGGATCTTCCCATGGTACAGAGTTTGTCTCCCAGTTGATGTCAGGGTAGTTAAAATCCCCCATTACTATTGTGATGTGCTTCCTACATACCTTAGCTGCCTAGCAAAAAGTTCATCTTTTTCCTGTTTGGTTGGGTGGCCTATAGTATACACCTATGGCAATGTTATTTTCCCTCCCTTTAATATTGACTCAAATGCATTCAAGATAATTTTCTTCATTGTTGTGCTCTATTTCTGTAGAGATGAAGTTATTTCTTATATATAGTGCAACTCCACCTCTTTATTTGGTCTATTTCTTTTAAGTAATTTAAATCCCTCTAGCTGTATGTTCCATTTGTGGGTTTCATCCCACCAAGTTTCCATAATGGCAACAATATCATATCTGCCCTCATTTACTTGAATTTCTAATTCACCCTGTTTATTCCTCATACTCTGTACATTGGTGTATAGACATTGGAGTCCATTTTGATTGATCCTGTGTTTACTGTCTACAAACCTGTATTGTGCCTGGCTGCCCCTACTTTCTTGCCACCTGTTTGATTAGTGCACATGTTATGGCACTCACTATTAAATGCTTGGTTTTGCTTGACAGCAAGGTTGATGAGAACATCATTCTTTTATGAGAACATCATTCTTTGGCTACAGTTATCTCTTTTGAGTTGTTGGAAAAAGAATTTTTATATACAAGATTATGTAATTAGGTTGTGAACTCACATGATGATAGAGTTTCTTCCCAAATGTGACCCTTTGGGCTGATCGCTTACACAGAATCTGGAGAGCAGTTTCACCTGCTCCAATTGATCTCATAACAGTGGTGAATATGGCCTGGTCCAAGTCGTCCTTGAGCTAGTTCAAATCCTCTTCCTTCTCCTGTATTACAAAAAGAAAGGGCCAGTTCTTCTTTTCTCTTTGTGGGTAAATACATAATTATTTGCTACATTGAAATGCAAAAGTTCTGGCTGATAACAACTTTCTAGGGTCTTAGACAGAAAGTTTGGATAAGTCTGGACACTTTTCTTGATAAGCCTTTTCAGAAGTGATTGCCATTGCTTCCTTCCAAGGACAGAGAGAGTTGTTGTGTATCTCTCATTTATAAATTAGGTAATGCATCTTTGTATTGAGACAATTATTAGGCACACTAAAGCTGGTTGGATACAAAATAAATAGTGTGAACACATTGAGATGCCACACATTTTTTTAATACTGTTTTTATTGTTTTTATATTACAAATTCCATTTCTAAATTGAACAGTGTTTTTTCTAGGTAACAAAAGTGTTAAAATTTAAACATCCTCATAATCAATATGATCATATCAACATACAAACATATAGTAGATACTATCAATCATTGTTATAAAGTATACTATCTTCCATATTAACATCAATTATATAAGCATCAAAATGTTTACTAATCAATTTTTCTTTCTCATATAATCCATATTTCATATAAACCCGTCCATCTGATCTCTGTATCTATTGACTAACCATTTGTAGAAAAGTTCCCATGTCATAAAATATTGAGAATCTTCTTTTTCTTTAATTTTTAATGTTAATTTTTAGTTTCTGAACATTCCATTATTTTTTTGATTATATTTTCATCTGTGGGAGTTTGTTCATTTTTCCAATATTGTGCATATACAATCCTGGCTGCTGTTAAAATATGTAAAATTAAATATGTATTACCTTTATTATACTTTTCTGGTAGCATGCCCAGCAGGAATATCTCAGGTTTCAAGTCTACGTGTTGTTTTATTATAGCTTCTAGCCATATGCAAATTTTCTTCCAATATTTTTTTGGTTTGGGACATGTCCATCACATGTGATAATATGAACCTGGTGTTTGGTTACATTTCTAACATTTGACAGATTTATCTTTGTACATATTCGCCATTTTTGCAGGTGAGAGGTGCCATCTATAAAACATTTTATAGAGATTTTCTTTATCCCTCTCTGGACCCGTCTGTTTTGGCAAACTACCGTCCAATCTCCAACCTTCACTTTGTGGCGAAGGTTGTTGAGAGTGTGGTTGCACGACAGCTCCCGCAGTACCTGGATGAAACTGTCTGTCTAGATCTGTTCCAGTCCAGCTTCAGGCCTGGGTACAGCACGGAAACAACATTGGTCGCATTGGTTGATGATCTCTGGAGGGCTCGGGACAGGGGTTGTTCCTCTGTTCTGGTCCTATTAGACCTCTCAGCGGCTTTTGATACCATCGACCATGGTATCATGCTGCGCCGGCTGGAGGGGTTGGGAGTGGGAGGCACCGTCCTATGGTGGTTCTCCTCCTATCTCTCCGACCGGTCACAGTCCGTGTTGGCAGGGGGGCAGAGGTTGACCTCAAGGCACCTTGTTTTGGGGTGCCGCAAGGGTCGGTCCTTTCACCTCTCCTGTTCAACATTTATGTGAAGCCGCTGGGTGAGATCATCCGTGGTTTTGGGGTGCAGTGCCATCTGTTCACTGACGATACTCAGCTGTACATCTCCACCCCAATGATGCCCTTGAAGTGATGTCCCGGTGCCTGGAGGCCGTGCGGGTCTGGATGGGGAGGAACAGGCTCCAACTCAACCCCTCCAAGACCAAGTGGCTGTGGTTGCCGGCGTCCCGGTATAGCCAGCTGGTGCCATCACTGGCTATTGGGGGCGAGTCATTGGCCCCCACGGAGAGGGCTCATAACTTGGGCGTCCTGGATGCACGGCTGTCTTTAGAAGAGCATATGACGGCCGTGGCCAGGGGGGCTTTTTATCAGGTTCACCTGATATGCCAGTTGCGCCCCTTTCTGGATCGGGACTCTTTATGCACGGTCACTCATGCCCTCGTTACTTCCCGCCTGGACTACTGTAATGCTCCCCTTGAGGAGCACCCGGAGGCTCCAACTGGTCCAGAATGCGGCCACGTGGGTGATTATGGGGGCGACATGGCGCTCTCACGTAACACCTCTCCTGCGCGAGTGCACTGGCTTCCGGTGGTCTTCCAGGTGCGCTTCAAAGTATTGGTTCTCATCTTTAAAGCGCTCCATGGCTTAGGGCCTGGGTATCTACGAGACCACCTTCTGCCACCGATAACCTCCCACCAGCCAATACGCTCCCACAGAGAGGGTCTCCTCAGGGTGCCGTCGGTCAAGCAATGCTGACTGGCGACCTCCAGGGGGAGAGCCTTCTCTGTGGAGGCACCGGCCCTCTGGAACGAGCTACCCCCAGGGATATGACTGATCCCGGACCTCCGTACTTTCCGCCGGGCGCTGAAGACTTTCTTATTTCAGCAAGCCGGGCTGGCTTAAAATTTTAATGGGTTAATTTTATGGGTAAGGGGTTTTAAATTGGGGAAGCCAAATTGATTTAATTATTTTTTAAACTATTTTAATTTTCATATTCTATGTATTTTAATCCTGGCGGTTCACCCCCCTGAATCCTTTGGGAGAAGGGCGGTATAAAAATTTAATAAATAAAATAAAATAAATAAATAAATATATGTTGTTAACATTGTAAGCTTGTAGTTTCTATTCCATAATTTCTGCCATTTGTCTAATTCGATTATATAGTCAAAGTTCTTAGCCCAAATTATCATAGTTTCTTTTACTTGTTCTTCCTCCAATTTAATGGAGATGCCACACATTATATGAGGGTATCACTATGGCCATTTTTTTGAAGGCAGGTCTTTAAATGCTACTGCTCGTGTCCTTTTGCCTGCATCTACTCATTGAATGTAGTACCAAAGGTCATGTGCTTATTGTAAGAGATAAACAGGCAGAGCGAAGGGACAGAATTAAATGAATCATCAGTCTAGATTCTTGAATCGGGTTGAACAATAAATCTTAACTGCAACTTAACAAATGATTCTGATTCTTTGTGCTTGACATTAATCTAGTCAACTAATGTTCAGTTCTAAATTGGCAGTTGATAATGGTCAATGGAATTCAAGAAGGATTGGATTTAGACTGTTTGTGGGAAAGTAACGACTTTAGGCTGATACTTTTTTAGTTCCATTGTCCCAGCTTTGCCTGTTCATCTCCTACACATAATCCAATTAGTAGAGTGCAAGTAAGCTTTCTTCATGAACAGACTGAAATGGAATATAGAACAAAAAGGTTATTCCTACTATCTCACATATTTTACAATACTTCACATATTTCTACTGAAATATCTCTGAATCCTCAGTCAGGAATTGAAATCAATCTTTTACTTGGGTAGTTGCAAGGTATTAATATTTGGCAAACTTTTGTTTTTATAGCTTTGTGTTCGTTCAATGGCAGTGTTAGAGACCATTTGCCCTTTGATGAATGGAATGAAGAAAAGATCAGATAATGTTGGCATAGCCTGTGAAGCACTTAATCGAATGTTTCAAAAGGAACAAAATGATCTAGTAGTCCAAGTAAGCAAATTTTGTATCTTCCTAATAAAATGGCACTTTATTTGTGATTATAGTTGTGCATTTTTTCCGATTTATTTATACTTTTTATGTTCCTGTTTCATTATCTTAAGTGGCTCTGGGTGGCTTACAATAATATAAAATCATAGATATAAAAACATTAAAAGCATTAAAACTAAGGTTAACAATTAAATAAGAGGTTAAAACCAAGAGTGTGGATGGTACAGGAGTGGACTTTTGTCTCTCATTCAACCAACCACCTCTAGCATAGCACGCCTCCTTGGGGACACAGAGAGAGCCAGGTTTTAAGACTTTTTCAGAAGGGTGGAGGGGGATCTAATTTCTGGAGGGAAGGGACTATGACAGAGAATACTTTTCTCCTTGACTGCTGATCCAATTCCTTGGATTATCTGACACTGTATTGTCAACAATGTTACTGTATGAAGATTAAGGTGATGGACTTTTTTGTTTATGATTATGTTATTACTATCAAATGTTAGGAATATGGTATGAACCCTCAAGAAATGCCAGATTCCCCAGCATTTACATTTCAGACAAAATTGACAGGTATATAAGTATTGAAAGTATACTAGTTTAAGAGACATAGAAAAGTTGAAATAGGTTCAAGAGAGGAATTTTATTATGACCATAGGCCTGTAAATCAAGCCCTCTGATAAATGTTTAAAGAAACAGGATCCATAGCTTCCATAGAGAATGATTAACAATATGCTAATTGTTTGCAAAAATATATTGTCATGTACTGTATAGGACAGACCTGTTCTCTGAATACAGAGAGATGAGATTAAAAGAGAGGATTCAGACCAAATATTAAGAGACATTCTTGACAGAGCATTAAGCTGTTTGCCTAAAACAGAGGTGGGGAACTATTGCCCCTTTATGACTTTTGGACTTCAATTTACAGAATTCCTCAGCTAGCATAAGCCATAAAAGGGACATAGTTCCCCACCTCTAGCCCAAAACAATATTGTATCCCTCAAACAGGCTGCATAATCTCTGATAAGAAAGCATTCTTACACAGGATTACACCACATCCATAAAATTCCTTCTAGCTCATATATTCCATGATTCCACATTTTAACTCAATTTATATTCATTTGCTATATTTTTAACTTCAGCTAAATGCAATAGGAAGGCTCACAGGAGTCTTAATCAAAATGTCTTAGTCTGAATTTAAGAATATACTCACATTATCTTGCAGGCCTTGAAAGCAGATTTAGTACCCTATCTCCTAAAATTGCTTGAAGGTGTTGGCCTTGAGAATCTGGAAAGCCCTTCAGCTACAAAAGCTCAAATTGTTAAAGCACTGAAATCAATGACTCGCAGTTTACAGTATGGAGAACAGGTAAAATCCCAAACATGTCTTAAATTCATTTTAAATCATATGGAATAAGATGATTCATTGTAACTTTTATTTTGAAAATAAAAGTTCTTCTGACTGGTGAAGTTATAATACTGGCAGGTATTACAGAGACCTGGCTGGGCCAAGAAGGGGGGGGTCCCCCTTGTACAGATGTGCCCACCAGGTTTCCGCGCATTCCATCAGCCAAGGGCCCAGAGCAGGGGTGGGGGGGTGGCGGTCGTTATAAAGGAAGGTCTTGATCCGAGGGAGGCCACTGTACCTCAGATAGCCGGATGTGAGTCTCTCCTGGTGAAGTGGGGCCATGGGATGCAGGTGGGCCTGCTGATCACGTACCTGGCTCCCTGCCACGTGATGGCCCTGCCCGAACTTCTCAACGTTATTGCCGGGGTGGCGGTTGATACCTCCAGACTTTTGGTCATGGGGGATTTCAACCTGCCGTCTACCGGTGAGGCGTCTGGGATGGCTCAGGAGCTTATGGCTTCCATGACAGCCATGGACCTGACACAATTAATTCATGGCCCCACTCACGTGGGAGGACACACTCTGGACTTGGTTTTTATCTCTGGTCAGTGGCTGAGTGGTCTGGATATTGGGGATATAGTTATTGAACCCCTGTCATGGTCGGACCATTCTCTCCTGAGGCTGGACCTTTTGACCGCTGCATCCCACTGCAGGGAGGCGGAACCGACCAGGTGGTTCCGCCCCAGGCGCCTGATGGATCCTGATAGGTTCCAGAGGGAGCTTGGGCCAGTTCCTGAAACTCTGGCTCACGACTCGGCTGAAGATCTGGTGGCTGCCTGGGATAGGACAGCTGCCGGTGCTCTGGACCGAGTCGTGCCTTTGTGGCCTCTGACCCGACGCCGAACCTGCCCGGCCCCTTGGTTTTCCGAGGAGCTGAGGGAGATGAAACACCAGAAAAGACGCCTAGAGAGTGGTTGGAGGGCTAGTCGCTCCGAATCCGACCGAACACTAGTTAGGTCTCATATTAAGACCTATCTAGTGGCGATAAAAGCGGCAAAACGTAACCACTTTTCCGCTCTTATTGCATCGGCAGATAACCGCCCAGCCGCCTTGTTTAGGGTGACTCGCTCCCTCCTACATCAGGGAGCGCGGGAAGACCCCTTGCAAGGGCAGGCTGAGGACTTTGCACAGTATCTGCACGATAAAATCGCTCAGATTCGGGAAGGCTTGGACTCTGACTGGGTAGATCCTGGCGGTGTGACTGAGGCTGGTCTTGAAATTGTTACCTGGGATGAGTTCGACCCTGTGACTCCTGAGGACGTGGACAGGATCCTGGGGAGGTTAAACGCAACCACATGTTTATTGGACCTGTGCCCCTCCTGGCTGGTACTGGCCACCCGGGAGGTAACACGAGGCTGGCTCCAGAGGATTATAAATGCTTCTCTGAGAGAGGGTTTCTTGCCTCCCGCCTTGAAAGAGGCGGTGGTGAGGCCCCTCCTCAAGAAGCTTTCTCTGGACCCGGCCGTTTTGGCAAATTACCGTCCGGTCTCCAACCTTCGCTTTGTTGTGAGGGTTGTGGAGAGTGTGGTGAGGCCCCTCCTCAAGAAGCCTTCTCTGGACCCAGCCGTTTTGGCAAATTACCGTCCAGTCTCCACCCTTCGCTTTGTTGCGAGGGTTGTGGAGAGTGTGGTTGCGCGACAGCTCCCACAGTTCCTGGATGAAACCGACTATCTAGATCCGTGGCAGTCCGGCTTCAGGCCTGGGTACAGCACGGAGACGGCATTGGTCGCATTGGTGGATGATCTCTGGAGGGCTCGGGACAGGGGTTGTTCCTCTGTTCTGGTCCTGTTAGACCTCTCAGCGGCTTTTGATACCATCGACCATGGTATCATGCTGCGCCGGCTGGAGGGACTGGGGGTGGGAGGCACCGTGCTGCGGTGGTTCTCCTCCTATCTCTCTGACCAGTCGCAGTCTGTGTTGGCAGGGGGGCAGAGGTCGACCTCGAGGTGCCTTGCTTGCGGGGTGCCGCAAGAGTCGGTCCTCTCGCCGCTCCTGTTCAACATTTATGTGAAGCCGCTGGGTGAGATCATCCGTGGTTTTGGGGTGCGATGCCATCTGTACGCTGATGACACTCAGCTGTACATTTCCATCCCAGACCACCCCAATGATGCCTCGAAGTGATGTCCCAGTGTCTGGAGGCCATGCGGGTCTGGATGGGGAGGAACAGGCTTCGGCTCAACCCTTCCAAGACCGAGTGGCTGTGGATGCCGGCGTCCCGGTATAGCCAGCTGGTGCCATCGCTGGCTATTGGGGGCAATGTCACTGACCCCCACAGAGGGGGCTTGCAATTTGGGCGTCCTCCTGGACACACGGCTGTCTTTAGAAGAGCATATGACGGCCATGGCCAGGGGGCTTTTTATCAGGTTTGCCTGATACTCCAGTTGCACCCCTTTCTGGATCGGGACTCCTTGTGCACAGTCATTCATGCCTTGGTTACGTCACCCCTGGACTACTGTAACGCTTTCTACATGGGGCTCCCCCTGAGGAGCACCCAGAGGCTCCAGCTGGTGCAGAATGCGGCCGCGCGGGTGATTATGGGAGCGACGTGGCACTCCCACGTAACACCTCTCCTGCGCGAGCTGCATTGGCTCCCAGTGGTCTTCCGGGTGCGCTTTAAGGTGTTGGTTCTCATCTTTAAAGCGCTCCATGGCTTAGGGCCAGGGTATTTGCAAGACCGCCTGCTGCTACCAATAACCTCCCACCAGCCAATACGCTCTCACAGAGAGGGCCTCCTCGGGTGCCGTCGGTCAGGCAATGTCGGCTGGCGGCCCCCAGGGGGCGAGCCTTCTCTGTGGGGGCACCCGCCCTGTGGAATGAGCTGCCTCCTGGAATACGATTGATCCCGGACCTCCGGACCTTCCGTAAAGCCCTGAAGACGTTTTTATTTCATCAAGCCGGCCTAGCCTAAATGGTTTTTAATTGGGATTTTAAATTTTTTGGATTTGGGGTTTTAAATTGGGTATCCAGTGATTTAATTCTTTTAATTATCCTAACTTTTGCATTTGTATGTTTTTTTAATTTTGGCTGTTCACCGCCCTGAGTCCCTTCTGGGGGACTAAATTAATAAAATAAATAAAATAAATAAATAAAAACTGAGGATTTGGTAAAACCAAAAATTACACTAAGCCAATTTCCATGAGGATAAGTGAACCCTCTCCAACCTGTACAGCAAATACAATTTTTTCTCTATTTTCTCACTTTTGTAGGTGAATGAAATCCTGTCTCAATCTTCCATATGGAGTGCCTTCAAAGATCAGAAACATGATTTGTTCATATCTGAAACTCAGACAGCAGGATACCTCACAGGTCAGCGTACTTCTACAGTGAGAGTTGTTCACTGTCCTTCTTTGTCTTCTGTCCTTGAAAGATCACTTAATTGACTTCTAGTTGGTTTTCATATACAGAGCTGTTAATGAAATTGCTACATAGTACAATACAGGCTAAAGTGATGTTTCCATTCATCATTTCTTCTGGTGGTTCACATCTGAATAGATGATTGTGAAAGCAATAACAAATACTTGAAGGGTTTAAGGATTAAATGAAAAAGTAACTTTCTTTTGAATCCAGCTTTAATTCTCAAAGGATTACAGGATTATATTTCAAGCATCAGATCACAAAGCATTCTCAAAATGTGATAAAGTTATGCTTCACTTTTTGCTTCAAAGTGTCATCTGTACTTCCCTTGCTTCTGTACTTCCCTTGCTTCTGGTTTCTTTCTCCTTCAGGTATCTCCTCTCCTTCCCTTCTATCTGGTAGCAGTCCCCTTCATCTCAGAAGTGGGCTTTAAATCTCCTTTTGGCAGGCAGCTTGCTAAACTTCTCTCTTGCATTCACTAAAGCAGGTAGATACCATTTTGCTCAGTGCATGTAGCCTCTTCGCTATCCCACAGATTATATGCTTACAAGGTGCATGCCGTACCATTGTAGCGAACATAGGCTGTTTTAAATTGGTACAAAATGCTGTAGTTCCGGCCGTGCTTTTGGGGTCATTGACTTCAGGGTTCCAAATTACAGCTGTCTAAATAAGAATTTTTATATTTATATATGTGTAAAAAACTATTTTCAGTTATGTCAAAACATTATCTAAATAATGCTTGAAGATACATATGGAAAGGATGGAAATCTGAACTCTGATAGCAGACTACTTATAATTAATCTAGCTAAAGGAATTTGAAAACAAAAACTGTCATGTCACAGATAAAACAACTAATCTTAATCTGGTCTGAACTGACCTAACAATATACTCAACAGTATACTGATTTTTTTCTCTCCTTGTGGAACAGGTCCTGGAGTTGCTGGCTATCTTACTGCAGGGAGGCCTTCATCTGTTATGCCCAATGTTCCACCTCCTGTAGATCACGAAGCTGGAGATATTGGCTAAGGGATATGAATGGCCTACATAAGGGACTCAAAGGCAAAGATTTATTGGCTTAAATCTTTAGAATAAATTTTGCCTGCCTTTCCCAGTTTCAAAACAGTGTTATTCCTTTTTCTATGAATATTCTTTTTTAGAAAATTTACAATTCTACTGCATTGTAACATAAGAAAGTACTTTGTGGATCAGCCTAAAAGAGTACACAAGATTTTTTTTCTTGCTGTACATAAGCACATTTATTTCTTATATTTTTGTTTACAAGACTGTGAATCAAAACAATTTTGCTAATATTTTGTATTATATTAATTAGCATGACTGAAGTTGAACTGCAGTCTCAAAGAATTGGCTAAATCATTTGATCCTCCCAAATTGCACTAGAAGTTTCTTTCTTCAATGCTTCAAGTTGGACTTGACCATCCTCTGAGAACTTGACTGGCTTGATGTTGTTTGTCTATATCCCCAATCACTAGCATAAATAAGATCCTCATGTGTTTAACTGGCTTTACCAAATCAAAAAACTAAAATACAGCAAAATTATATTTAAAAATTACATGGTGTATAAAAACATTGTGTCATTGTGATATGTTCTATACATTATTCAGTATATAAAACTTTCTATATTGAATGTACATTATACAAATCATTCATATGTATATAAAATTTAAAAGAATAAAGGGAACTGAAAGCCTTGTTGAAACAAGCCTGTTTCATTTCTTGGTAAAACTAAAAGGAAAATCAAGATACTTTTATGAATACTGATCTAAAATGGTGTATTTTTTTCTGTTAATATGGCTCTGGTGGCATGAGGTAAGACAATTATTCAATTATTTTCAGAGTTCTAGCTACAGAGTTCTAGAACTGTCAACAACAGAGACAAAAACACATTTCTACAAAACATAACTTGGGAATTGTAGGAGAGAAATTAGATCAGAATTTTCCTCCGCTATACGCAGTTATATCTTAGAAAATGGTTAGCACTGTTTCAGCTCTTGTATGAGTGCCAATTAATCCTTTTGTGAATCTGACAATAAAGGAGGCCATGGGTTGCAGCATGTAATTAGAATGATGAAACAAAATTAGTTTAGTTTTCTTTATTGTCATTGCACATGGTACAACAAAATTAAATGCCATTTTCAGTGTACATTATAACTATAAAAATAAAAACACATACCTCCTTTACATTCTTTTTTTTTTTAATTTTTTTTTATTGATTTTTCCAAAACAAAAAAGAGAATGTACAATCCATCTCAGCTATCGAAGGTACAGTGTAATTACAATATAATAAAACGGAAATTGGGAAAAATAAGGCTTCAATCTTAACTAAACATGATACTATACACTATGACTATAGTAGATATGCCAGGTCAAAATTCTAAAGTCATATTTTCATCTTATTTTTAAGCCAGTGGTACCAGATACCCCATACATCATAATATCTTAAGTTGTCCTCATTTTTTAACTCGCCTGACAGTTTCGCCATTTCTGCGCACTCTAAGATCTTATTTATTAGAGTTTCCTCTGAGGGTATAAGTTTGTTTTTCCACCATTTTGCGAAGGCTAATCTAGCCGCAGTTATAATCTGAATTATCAGTTGGGTTTTGTTGTTGTTTAAGCCCTCTTCAGTTATGCCTAGGAGGAAAAGTTCCGGAGCTAGGGCTACCTCCTGTCCTGTTATTTCACAGAGCCAATGTTGGATTTTGGACCAGTACTTTTTAGTCACAGGGCAGGTCCACCATAGGTGATAAAAGGTGCCGACTGATTTTCCACATTTCCAACATATGGGAGAGAGATTTGGAAACATCTTAGCTAGCCTCGCTGGGGCTAGATACCACCTATGTAGCAATTTATAGTGATTTTCCCTAAACGTTGTGGATTTGGTTATTTTGTAGTTTCTATTCCAAGCTATCTCCCAGTCATTGAAATTTAGTCTATGTCCTAGATTTTTTTCCCAGATGTTCAATTGTCTTTTTGCTATGGACTCTGCCTTATCTTCATCTAATAAAAAGTGGTAAATTTTGGTTAACATTTTTTTTTCTGATCCCCAGATAATTTTGTCAAAGTTTCCATGTTTCGCTGCTATTCCGAATTTATCTCTGTCTTTTTGGAATCTTGAGTTGATCCGAATATAGTTCCACCAATCCACACTAAAGCCCTGATCCCTCAATAGCTCCAGCGATTTAAGTTTCCCTTCTTCGTCGAGGATGTCCTTATATGTACCCCATTTATAATCGTCGCTCCTGTTTGGAGTCGCCAACGATTCCATAATAGAAAGCCAAATGGGTACCTTAGAATAGATCTTCTGTCTGATTTCGTCCCACGTACGAATGAGGGTCTCCCTGATTTGTGCTTATGAAAATAGGATTTTTTCTTATTCTTTATATCCCAGAGATGGGAGTGCCATCCTTCTAGGAGGTCATGTCCTTCCAAGATCAGGGTTCTCCTATCCTGTAACTTGATCCACTCCTTGATCCAAATTAATTTTGCGGCCTTTTGATATAATTCCCAGTCAGGGAGCCCAAAGCCTCCCAAATTCCTTTTCCCTTGGAGTATCTTAAAAGAAATCCTCGATTTCTTACCCTCCCACAAAAAGTTCCTGATGTATTTGTTCAGATCCAAAAAGAATTTTTTGTCTAGTGATAGCGGAATGTTTTGAAAAAGAAAGAGAATTTTTGGTAAGATATTCATTTTGATCGCTGCAATTTTACCCATCAGAGACAATTTGAGCTTTTTCCATCTTTCTAGGTCTTGGTGTGTTTTCTGTAGAAGGGGGATATAATTATCCTCTTTTAGTGAGGAGAATCTCGTGGTAATCCATATTCCCAGGTATTTTATTTTCCTAACTGTCTGGAGGCCTAATGATTCTTCCAATTCTTCCTTTTGTAGATCTGTCATGTTTTTCACTATCATTTTAGTTTTGTTCTTATTAAGTTTTAGGCCCGCCACTTCTCCATACTCCTGGATTTCCTGCAATAATTTTACACCAGATTCTAGTGGGTCTTCCATTATGAGGGCTACGTCGTCCGCGAAAGCTTGGGTTTTAAAAGTTTCGTTCCTAATCTTTAGTCCTTTGATCTCTTTGTTGGCTCTTATCTTTCTAAGTAGCACCTCTAGCGCCAAGATATATAGTAAGGGAGATAAAGGGCATCCCTGTCTCACTCCTTTTTGAATCTGAAACCGCTGGGTTCTATCTCCATTCACTAGTATGTTTGCCCTCTGGTTTTTATATATGTTCTCAATCATCTTCCTAAAGTTGGTACCGAATCCCATTAGATCAATTTGATTTATCATGAAGGTCCAATTCAAGTTATCGAATGCCTTTTGGGCATCAACAAACATTAAAGCCAGCTGTTTTTCGGGATGTTGTTCGTAATATTCATATACTCTGGTTTCTCTTCAGATCGTATAAATCTTTCGCCTTTTACCTCCTTTACATTCTATATAATTGAAATTGAAAACCCGATATTGCACTATACCAGACGATGGCTAACCTTTTTGCCATCGTGTGCCAAAAGCAGGGGTCGTGCAGGGGGGTCGTGCGCACACATGGCCACACCCATAATTTAATGTGGCACTGCACATGCACGTGTGACCCCCCGCACTCCCCCTGCTTTTGGCATGTGATGGCCTGATGGGCCCAGTAGGCCTTTTTCACCCTCCCCAGGCTCCAGAAGCTTTCTTGGAGCCTGGGGAGGGCGAACATGGCCTTCCCCAACTCCCCCAGAGGCTGGAAACTGCCTGTTTGCCCACTTCTGGTGGGACCGGAAGGTCCATTTTTCGCTCTCCCCAGGCTCCAGAGGCTTTCTGGAGCATGGGGAGGGGAAAAAAGGTCTTCCCCACCACCCCCCAGAAGCCCTCCGGAGGCCGGAAACAACCCGTTTGCCGACTTCTGGAGCTGAACTAGGGCAACGCTCATGTGCCCATTGATATGGCTGGCACGCATACCATAGGTTCACCATCATGGCACTATACCGTAGAATTCAAGATGGTTATTGCCCTGGGATAGAAGCTGTTTTTCAGCCTATTTGTCCTTGTTTTTATTATCCTGTACTGTCTGCCAGATGGTAATAGTTCAAAAAAGGGGTGCCCAGGTCTTTAAGAATGTTTTGAACTTTCTTAAGGCAGCAGGAGCTATAAAGAGGGCAACCAATGATCCTCTGGGCAATAACATTGACCCTCTGGAGTGCTGTCCTCTCTGCCACTGTGCAATTGGCAAACCATACACAGATGCAGTAAGTTAAAATACTCTCTATGGTGCAGCGGTAGAAGGCCACCAGCAGTTTTTCATTCAGTTGTTGTTTCCTGAGAAGTCTCAGGTAGTATAATCTCTGCTGGGCTCTTTTGACCAGTGCTGCAATGTGAGTGCCCCAATTCATGTTCTCTTTTATGATAACACCCAGAAACATAAAACTGGCCACTTGCTCCACTCGGTCTTCATTGATAAGCAAGGGCTGGATGTCTGATCTATTCCTTCTATAGTCCACTATAAGCTCCTTGGTCTTATTTGTGTTAAGAACCCAGTTATTGTTTCCACACCACGAAAGCAACTTTTCCACCTCATCTCGATAGGCAGATTCATCCCCCCCCCCCGAGATCAGTCCCACCACTGTTGTATCATGGGCAAATTTAGTAATAGTATTACTAGTGTGAGTGGAAATGCAGTCATGCACATAAAGAGTATAGAGAAGGGACTCAACACACAACCCTGTGGTGTACCAGTGTTAAGAATAAGGGCTAAAGAGAGATGATTACCTAATCTGACCCTCTGAGAGTGGCCAGACCGGAAATCCATAATCCAAAGGCAGATTGAATAAGAAAGCCCAAGATCCATAAATTTAGACATTAGTTTATGTGGAATTACTATGTTAAATGCAGAGCTAAAATCTACAAAAAGCATCCTCACATAGTCCCCCCACTGTTCCTAATGAGTCATTTTAGAAAGACTGCTATGAATTTGCCATATTTTCTTTATTTCAGTCTCCAAAAAAAGGACTGGAATCACTAATTAGTTATTGCACATTATCTTAAGAAATACAATAACTGGTATTTAACTGCTAAAAACACCTTAATCTAAGAACAGGGCTCAAAATAACTACATAATAAACAATAATTTGCTCATTAACTGACAGACTAGAGAAGGTAAAATCAGCTAGAAGAAAATGGAGTATAAAAATAAGAAAACTCCAGAAGATTTTTTAAAAAACCTGCTATAAATGCAAAATGCTAATAATTTGCCATTTAATTTAAACAGATAAATTAGCTGTGGTCTTCACCACTATTGCAGCTGCTCAAGAGTACCTAAGCTGAATACTTGTTGCCATCAAGATACTCAGACTTTCTAGAATGAAAAGATTTTTGCTGAGGAATGTTCTTATTCACTGAATTATTTATTTGATAAATTTAAAACCAATCAGCTCAGTAATTAAAATATTTTTATTGTTCAAAGCAGATTACAAAAATGTTGAATATGTTCATTTATTTGTTTGATGCCCATTTCAAAGCTGTATTAATATTTACCCCAGCTTCAAAAAAGGAAGAGATAATTTCACTAGAGATGAAATGAATGGAAATCTTAGTAATGTAATATAGTAGAAGTATATGAATAATATAGCATAACTTTCATTTTCATCATCCCCAACAGCGAAGAGCAGGGATAATGAATTCTGCTGGGATGGTTTGGCAACAACACTTGTGCTCTTATTC